CCCCCAACACACACACTTTGAAGACACACGTTCACACAGTCGAGCTGGCCGCCTGTCGGACCCCAACTCGACTCACGTTATGATACGTGCGCATGCCAACAACGTGTATGCTGGAAAAGCTACGAAATAAGGCAGCTGATTGGTTGGTTGCATAAGAAATATGAACAATAGGCTAAACGAACAATTAATGTTTCGCGATGTAGGTGCCATGGGTGGTTTCCAGGAATAGATAAGATTTGTTGCAGGAGGAAAATAAGCGAAGCCACGCCATGTCCTGTAATTTTCAACTTTCATTGAAATCGACGTTGCTCATTAATGTGTTCGTTGAATCCTAGTTATTTTCATTGACTTCAATTTAAAAAATAAAAAAAGCCCCCCCAAAAAACAGACCACGAGGAATCTATCTCCTTTCATTGAATCGGAGTTCCACAGTATCTAAAATGTTTTGACGCTCAACGTAAATAGAATCAAAAGTAATTCACTAAATATGTAACATTTACGCTGTTTTCGTATAGGACTAGCTAGGCCTATATAATATGTAGTATTTAATTGAATTTCTAACAGTTTCATAAATTAACAATAGGACAAAAACAGATGCAATCATTTTGCTGTTCTCTAACCTTGATAAAACATTGATTTTTACTTGTACACATCTCTAAGATACCAAATCACTTGAAAAAGAAGAAGAAGAAAAAGAAGAAGAAGAAAAAGAACTGCCACTGAAATATCTCGGCTGTTGCCTTCTGTTATCACAGTTGCGTACAACAAGAAGGCCCTGACTGAAAAATAATTTTATTGCGCATACTTTGTATTTTGTCACTATAGATCTATACTATTTTTGGGACCGAAGATCATAAAACGCGTTCAAAGGAACCTGAATGTCCAAACTGGCATTCCAAAATGCACGGCCTTATGGGATTCTGTAGATTGTAGCGTCACCTACAAAACATTTCATTATCAAAGTAAACTCAACATATGGAACACAAAAACAGGTGCTATGAATAATTCATTTGAAGTGGATTATTTTGAGCTACTAGAAAAAATAAATATTAGGAAATATGTTTCAGTAATGAGTCTTTCAGTTAAATAGCTTTGGACCTTAATTATATGGTTTATTATGCAGCAACACATTTATCTCGTGCCGAACGGGAAAATGCGGGTTTTAAAATCACTAAGCAACGACAGATGAACGCAATGGACGCCTAAACCAAAATATTCCTGTTTGCAGTGTTGCTGGATCCTAAAAGCCCCATAAAAGCTGAATATGGATTCCGGGGTTTTGAATTTGGCGTAAGTTACCAAACTGTTTTTTGTGTGGATAGTTTACCCGTTTATGCTATAAAGCAGGGTCTTGCAGTGTTGATCTGGATTTGTCAAGCTACTCAAACGAGACTGAGACATCACATTATTATTATTATATTTATATTAGTCAATTGGACTTCTATAGTCAAGCCTAATTTTGGCTAATCGGACAATCATCTGCAGAACTCGGGTAAATATGTAATCTTAAGTGATTTCTACATTATATTCAAAGTATAGATCTACATAATATTCACCCTATACGGCACGGAAAAAACTTCCCTCTTGACCACCAGAAATCAGAAGTCCAGAATATCATAATATTAATCATCATGTAATAGTAGATCCAATAGTTTGAATTAAAAGCTACCACTACTATGTTAATAAATTTAGTCAACTTCTCTACAATATACAGGTGCAATGTATGGCTGCTACCCAAACTCTGGGTGCCCGCTGTTTACGTAAAATCAAACTCATATGATCATATGATGCCATACCTTTTATCCCGTATGTTTTGCTCTGTGCAAAGGCAGGGTTGTGTGAGCTGAAATATTTAGATTAAAAGGGATTTATAGAAGAACAAAATGAGTACATGCAGTATGTTTGGTTACTACTGTTTCATTACGGCTGCCTTGTAGACTTTGGTAAGCTTTAGTTAAGCAAATTGCTTACTGTGTACACATTTTTGGTCAAGCGTGAAGACATGCTCCATTATCTCACAGAATTTCAAAAAAAGTATGGCCCATATTAAACTAGGGGAAAATAATTCTGAAGAAGTTTCAGCTTGTTTGACAACTGAAGAGTGCCTACATCTCAACAACTTAGCACAGGCAGACCTGCCTTGCAGCGGTGCTAGATCATGAACATGAAATATGATGGTCTTAAATTCCAAGAGGAGGAAGAACTGCAGCAAGTTTGTCTTACTCAAAGCAGTTGTAACAAAATGTTAACAATACTATAATGAGTTGAATAGTTTTACAGACCAGCTCATCTTACATTTATATGATTTGCTATTGGATGTAGACAGATGAAACCGACCATTGGTGTCACAGACAACCTGAAGACCTTCCAACTCCACCTCCTCTCTTTTTAACCCAATCTGTACGCCCTGGATCATTTTGTACCCCCGGAGTTGTATTCTTCACATTTTAGAATACTTCTAGTATGAAGGGTCTCTTTGAAACCTTCAGTGTTTCTCAAAAAAGAGTTCCCAACGTCATATGGATACGATAGTAAAACACGTTGTATGGATAGGAGGGTTAAAGGCCTTGAAAGGGAGTCACCAATTTTGACTCCAAAGACCAGGGAGAGGTTTGGGGTGGTGGTGAGTGCCGCTAATTTGTGTGATTACACTTATAGTTAATAAATGAGTGAGCTACTTTTCGTTTTCACTTGCTCTGAGAAGAAGACTTTCCAGTTGCCAACCAAAGCTGTGTAGTAGATTCAAACATTGTTACAGTGTATCATGTAAACTATTACCAGGGACGTTCTATCTTTGATAGTAAAAGCGCAATCGTTCATCTTGACAAAGAGGAAGACAAATATGTTTTTGCTTAAAAGCCTTCATGAGAAGTGGGATCATATTATATCTCCTACTTACTAATTGTGTTGTAGATGCTGCAACTGTCTTGAGTGTCAACATTTTTTTAATGTGTAGGAGTAAAGATTGTAATTTTTCTAATTTTTCTATCTCTTAGTGTCCAACTCTGTATTTGTGTGTGTATTGATGAATCAGAATGCATGCCTGTGGTGTTCATCAAAAGCTGATAAGTGAGGCAGAATGAGATTAGCAACTCTTAGAATCCAGTCAAACATAAGTGGCATTTGAACAATTTTGAGTGGACGTATTGGCTGAAACAATTTATTACTTTCCTTTACTGGTTTAAGCAATTTAATGATGTGTATATATTTTGTTGGTCATAAGGGATATTTATTAATTAAGAGGATTCCACGGATTAATTAAAATCTAAATTGAATTCTTTCTCTGTGTTCCAGTTGGAGCCAAGGATACGATGGATCCCGAATCACATACATTGAACCTGATGTCTTGTGCTATCAGTGTGGGCGCAATGTCAAAACCATCTCCACTGATGGGAAACAAGGGACCTTCGCTTTCAAGGGTACCGCTGTGGGGCCGATGGCTGTACACAATATCAACAAACATATCGCTGTGGGAGAATATTGTCAGAACCCCAAAATATATGTCTATGCGTATCCCACATACAGTGAGATATCTGTTCTTGAAGGTAAATATTTGATAAATGTTGTAACCGGTAGTATTGCAGTCCTCTCTGAGCCCAGTGTGACAGTGAACTTCAGAAAAAAATTCTATGAGTAACATATATATTCTACTTTTGACAGCTTTGCTGCTTCTGAACTCCAGTCAATGTGAAGGTATTAAGGTGAAGTTTTGCATCTATTCTACCCAGCTGTTTTGTTACCTTTTCTCTCTTGACATTCTCCTTTTGTGTCAACTTGCATTGAAGGATAAGTGGTATTGTTCAGTTTTTGGCTTTCACAAAATGTTTGAATATTCTTGAAGATACGAAAGACATGCATTAGATTTTGGTCCCTATATGGTTTCTCAGAAGACCCCTGAGATACCCCGGCAAAAGGAGTTCTCATGATCTAGTATTTAGTATTCAAAAGATCTCATCCCATCCCATTTCAAAAAGGTTACAGCTGTTTTTATTCTCGTGTTCATGATAGATGTGTTGTTAAAGTGTCTGATATGGGTGGTTGGCAGGTGCTCTGGTGTGGTTTGCTTCTTCTTTCCTATCAAACATTTGTGGTCCTTATCTCCCCTCCTTTTTTATGTTTGTTACCCTCTTGTAACGCCTCTAATCGTCTGGTGCTCATATGACCTAATGCCGTTGTGAGCACCGTAAAACCTCAACTAAAACAAAAAACAAAAAGAGTGTGTGTTGAGCTTCTTTTGTTTAATGAAGGTCCATATTGTATTGATCCTTTCAGGTGGCGCAGAGCTTCAGTTCCAGTCCATTGCCTTTTCAGAGAGTGACTACCTAGTTAGCGTGTCTGGGATTCCCAACTTTCACATGGTGTTATGGTATGTTCATGTTCATGTATGTTCATTGCTTGGTCAAAATGATAAATGATACATGGTCAGTTCAGCAGAATTTGGAATCAGTCGAAGATGTTTAGATTGAAGTGAAATGTGCTTTTCCTTGTCAGTTTACTCAGCCCAACTGAGACTCAAGAAAACTGTCATGATTTGGGAAAAGGAACATGTTGGACGTGTTTGATTTCAGTGTAAATGTGTGGTGGTCTGGGAAATCCAGACAGAAGATGCATAGCTGTGAACCAAGGCACAGTTTCATTACTTTCCTTTACCATATAACATTATCTTTCATAGAATTGGAGTCCGTATCATTTTATTTTTAAAAATCCATGTCACTGTTTGATGATTGTAAAAACAAAGCCTGAGTTGCGTAAATATGTTGATTTTCAAATCGTTTTCTGAGGTACCCATTGATGTTTTGATGGCTGGGTGTGAACCTCAGACAAATGCTGAATTGCAAAATATGGTTTGACAGAGTCTTGCATTCCACCATCAATTTTCGTTTTTTGAAATGTGTCTTCATGTTGAAAAAACCCCCCAACAAAATATTAAAACTGTTGTGAGCACTGGTAGTTTTCTGTCTAAATATGGTTTGAAATGTTGTTCCTACCCCAAAATTTTTAATGAATGTAATTGCCCCTGGAAAGTGTTTGACTCAGCTTTGCTCTCAGTATAGGTCCTAATGTTAAATGGGCAAATATCAAGATGTGAAAATTTTTAGCATTCAGAGAAGTCAAGGTTCCTTTCATCTTAGAACACACAAACGAATAATAATATGGTGTGCCTGATTTTTTCAGATAATAATGCAACTTATTTAGTTGATTAAAAAATTATTTTAACAAATAATGCAAAATGGTGCCTTGAAAATACATGGGAGGTGTCCAGAAAGCAAAGTAAAATGGCCATAACTATAAAATAAATGTCTCATTGCAAAAGACAATGGCAAATTTTTGACTTTGCTAAAGTACAAGTTGCACCATTGAACACTTTGACGTCACAGGAACTACAGAGACCCTCCTAGAGGACTGGTCAACGTTCAAATGCATGAAATCATACAATTTTCTTTTATGTGAAATAAAGCTTCCAATAGAAACTTGTAGTGAATTCACAGCGAGAAAAAAGCAAGTGTATCACTGGTGAAGATTTTTAATTGCAGGATTGTTGAATCTGTAATAGCTAAGGGTTTGGAGTTTGGTGAGCACACAGTAATATTGTAGATCGTTTTTGTTGTGCCTTCTCTCTAGGCACTAGAGCAGGCAGTCGAAACGTTCAACTTTAACCCTTCAGCTCCAACTAGTTGACTCTGCCTATTTAACCCTTTGTCATCATATTTTGGGGAAAATCGAAAGAAACTTGGTGGTAAACATGGCCAATCGGCGAGATGAAGCGGAAAAGTGTTAAACAGTTTGTTCTTTGTAACAGAAGGTTGCCAAATCTCAGTTTTATGTATGTTTTCCAGGAATTACTTCGATGGTACCCGGCTGACCTCTGTGGCTCTCACTCCGGATCCTCTCAAGACGGTTTCATTTAACAAGACCAACTGGCGGCAGATCTGTGTGATGACAGATACCGCTATCACTCTGTGGAACATTGAGCAATGTGACTCAAAATACATATTGCTTCCCCAGTAAGAGCATTTGGGAAATGTATTTTCATTCTCAAATTAATTCTTTAATAAAACTAGACATTTATCTTGTCTAACTTTTAAAATAATTCTGTGGCGTAACGGCCTAAAATGAAATTAATCCAAGAAATATAAGAAAGTAAGTACCTTTTTAAAAAACTCTGGTAGTAACACACCTCGTATGTTTTTTCACTGTTAATTTTGTTAATTGAAGAGGTAATTGGTCGCGTTTAAGGACAAGCGGGCTAACCCAAATTTCAGGGGTTTCCAGAAATCTTGATCTACCCCAAAAGTGGGCATTGCCTTACCTATAGGAGAAGTTTGGTTTCGTTGGTGTCTATATTTGTTTGGTTATAGAGAAAACTCTCCTTGTCTTTTAAAGAAATTGAACAAAGGGAACAATATATGAACACATTATGTATGAGTTTAAAAAAAGAGTAAATATTCAGAACTGGTTTTTGTTGTGGAAAGAACAAAAAAGGAAAATACCTATTTGTCCTTCACATAGAAGTTTGACAAATTGCTTTCCCTTCTCAGGAAAATCAAACTGCCAGCTGTTGACCCCTCCGCAGAAGAAGAGTCTGAGAAAGATGAGGATCAGGAACTCCAGAGATCCCCAACCAAGATGTCCAAATACGCCATTGACATTCCAGACTCGGCAGTTGCAGGTCTGACCGGGGAGCAAGTGGAACAACTTGAAGAAATTCGAGACATGATTGAAAGAGTTTGTCCTGTCTCAATTGCATGGCTTCCTACTGGGGACTTTTATGTGGGCTGTGAAGGTGGACAACTTTTCAAGGTATGAATTACGTACCAGAGCGTCTAACAGTGTCATCAGCTGTGACTTCTATGGTAGTGGCAAGTCTTGTGTGTCAGACAGGGCATAGAAGTGATATTAAAAGAAACATTTCTCCGAGTGATGTGGAGAAAATGTGTAGGAATTAGGTTAGCAAGACGTTTAGAGAAGAGGAATTAACCCTATCCGTACGTCGAGTTTTACTATCGTATCCATACGAAGTGGGGAACCCTGTGCCACCAACTTTCCAAAGAGGAAATTTACTGGTTAATCCGATCCGTACGCCTTGCATAGCAGTCTGTCAAAATGATTTTTTGAGAAATACTGAAAATTTCAAAGAGATCTTCGTACTAGAAGTATTCTAAAATGTGAAGAATACAACCCCGGGGGTACAAAATGACCCCAGGGCTCCCTTCTCTTCATAATGTAAACAGTGGCTCCTTAAGTGAGGGGAGTGTTAATGTAAAATGATAGAACAAGGCAGGCTTTGTTTTGTGAATGTTTAAAAAAAAATAAAGTTATTTCTTTGTGGGGAGAGATCGTCTGTTTGAAAGATAATTTCTTTGTGGGGAGAGATCGTCTGTTTGAAAGATAATTTCTTTGTGGGGAGAGATCGTCTGTTTGAAAGATAATTTCTTTGTGGGGAGAGATCGTCTGTTTGAAAGATAATTTCTTTGTGGGGAGAGATCGTCTGTTTGAAAGATAATTTCTTTGTGGGGAGAGATCGTCTGTTTGAAAGATAATTTCTTTGTGGGGAGAGATCGTCTGTTTGAAAGATAATTTGTTAGTTATGACCTTGTAACAGGTCGGCAAAAGGGGCAGCATCTGAAAGCGTAATTTCCTTTTCCTTGAATTTGGACAAACTTGTTTTCCATGAACATAACAGAGAAGTAAAACTGAGTACTTATAATTTTGTCATTTTCTGGTCTGTCTCCACAAATGCATTTGAAATTGAAATGCTGGATGAACTGCCAAGAATTTTCTGTGCACACTATTTGATCTTGTGTTTCAGGTGGACAGTGAAATGCACAAGACAAGAATGCTGTACTCTCCACAAGGAGATGCAGGAGGGAATCCCTTCGACAGAGGTCTGACCAGTGTTTCAAGAGGAGAGACAGACATGCCCCCAGCAGGTGTGTAGCCTTGACCCGTCTGCTGGGACATTTCAGTAACCCACTTTTAGCACTTTTTAAGGACCCTCAGGCAAGTGTTGAGTTCCTGCGTGCTGTTGGCATCGCTTACCGTTTATGAAGCCACAGAGAGAGAGAGAGAGAGAGAGAGAGAGAGAGAGAGAGAGAGAGAGAGAGAGAGAGAGAGAGAGAGAGAGAGAGAGAGAGAGAGAGAGAGAGAGAGAGAGAGAGAGAGAGAGAGGGAGGGGGAGAGGGAGAGGGAGAGAGAGAGAGAGAGAGAGAGAGAGAGAGAGAGAGAGGGAGAGGGGGAGAGGGAGAGAGAGAGAGAGAGAGAGAGAGAGACGTAGCCTTGAGCTCCGTGTTTGTGGGAAAGGGAAGCCCCATGAAAAGAAAGATGAAACAATAACCATGTTAGGGAATTAAATGGAAAGATTTGACCAAAGTGGACCTTTCCACAAGCAGTATCAGACCACTAGCATTCAAAATATCATACAGCCTTTTTGAAAAATGACATGTTTATAGATTTCAAAGTTTAAATTGTCTTACCCTTTCAATACGGTACATTAGGTTTCAGTTCCTGAAGACATCTGTAGCGTTGAACCTGCCCTAACGACCACGTGTAAAAGAAAACCACCCGCACCAATGATCGCTTCCCATTTCCTTCCTTGCATTTGTTCTATGTTGTATTATATTGACCTCATCCAAGATATCCACCTGTCTAAGACATTCACTTTTCTTCTTCTTCATGGGTGGCGGTCTCAGACAATTTGGAATGCATTTTGTGTTTCATTCTTTTCATGACCAATGAACCAATAAATCGGCAAAAAAAGATTATTAATCCGCTTACAGGAAAAAGAGGCAAAAACAGCTCCTGGAGATGGATGGCTGGTGCCTCTATAAATAAATCATTGATGGTCAAGGTCAAATTCTTTTCATGACATACATATATATGTCAATGCAGGACATACTGGGCACTGCTATGGAATACCTGTACTTCAGTTGGATTGCCAAAGGGGCTAACATTTTTATTCTTAGTCCTCTTAGCTTTTCCAGTCGTTGAACATTGCTTTTTTGACTGTTCTGCAATAAAGCACTCTGTCTCTTGTCTTTCTACCTGCCTGAGTTAATTGGTTCCAAGCCGGGGTTCTATCTCCTGTTCCCATCTTATGATAGATCGATCTCCCCCTTCCTCTTTTGCCTTCTATTTTTGCTTCCACAATTGTTATGTTTGTCAAGCAGATCGTGTAATTTTATGTTTGTCCAAAGTAGCTCCGTTTCAGTTATATTACATTCTGGAAGAGTGTTGATGTTTCTATAGCTATTCTTCTCAATACTTCCTCCTCCTTTATTTTCTGTCTCCATGGTATTCTAAGAGTTCCTCTATAACATTTCATTTCGAAAGCTGTTGGTTTTCATCATTGTCACAACATTAAATCATAGAGAGGGGATTGTGGGTGGTTGGTGGGTGCTCTGGTGTGGTTTGCTCCTTCTTTCCTATAAAACATCTATCGTCCTTCTCCTCCTTCTCCTTTTTTGTGTATGTTACTCTCTTGCAACACCTCTATTCTTCGGCACTTATATGATCTTATTGTGTTGCAAGTGCCGTAAAACTCTTAACAAAACTAAAACTAAAGAGAGGGGATTGCAATTCTTTCTGGGAAAAAGTGCAATGCTCTGCACTGTAATTGTTTGAAGTGAGTTATTGAAACTTCTGTTGTAAGATTAGATGTAACTTGCTGATATAATTCCTTTCTATCTAACAGAAATGAGCAATGTTTGGCTTAGACCTGGATCCCTTCAGTGTATTGCCCTCCATCAGGCCGGTCTGTATGCAGCTGGAAAGGTAAGTCGATTGCTCTCAACTCTATTGCTTTGACATTTGATCTCTACGTTCTTTTGGATTTGTAGTTTTGGAAAAATTCCATCATAAGTACTCACTTTCCGGAGGGGAAATTTTGATTGCATTAAAGTTATGGATAGACAATCATTCTAGTATTGTTAACCCTATCTGTTCGCCATGTTTTACCATCGTATCCATACGACATGGGGAACTCTGTGCCACCACTTTCCAAAGAGGAAATTTACTTGTTAATCTGATCGGTACGCTTTGCAGAGTTGTCTGTCAAAATGATTTTTTGAGAAATGCTGAAAGTTTCATAGAGATCTTTGCACTAGAAGTATTCTAAAATGTGAAGAATAAAATCCCAGGGGTACAAAATGACCCCGGGGCATATGGATAGGGTTAACCATGTCCTACGTACCTACAGTTTGAAACACTTTTGGGATTTGATCAGTTTTCTGATTTGTTTGAATTTTTGAAGTGGTGAGTGGGAGGGAAAAGGTAGGGGGGGGGGGGTTGTATGTGTGTTTTTGTTCTTCATTATTATTGTATCTCTCTTGCCCTTTTTAACTCACAGTGGAGCATAGGCCATCAACAACATTTCTCCAGCTTGAAGCCTGTCCTGTGCATCCTTTTCTAGATGTTTCCATGATGTCCCCGCCTTTTCCATTTTTGCTGTTATTGTATACTGTTCCTATTTTAAACGTAGTTGAAACCTTTTTCTAACTATCAGCATCTTGTGTTTCCCTTGACAGGATGGCGTGATTCGTCTTCTGGATGTCACAGGGGAGGAAGTCAGTCTACAGGAGGAGGTCAATGTGGACGTGCCCGTCTCAGCAATCAGTTTCAACTCCAAGTACCAGAATCTGGCCTGGGGATCTCCAGAGGTGGGAGGCAGACCTCTCTTTGACTTTTCTACTCTTTCTTATCATTTACTCTTCAATCTTTTCTTCTATTTTCTTCTTTCCCGTGGTTGGGGTAACCGTGGGGGCACCACTGCATCTGACAACCAGGTCTTGCCATTTCTCTTTGTCCTCTGCTTTCCTCAGATTGTCACCCATCGTCTTTCTCGTCCGCTCTGTAATGTTGTCATCCCATCTCCTTCTCTGCCTTCCTCTCTTTCTCTTTCCTTGTACTTGTCTTTTCATGTGGTGTGTCTTGGGCAGAGAAGCTTGATGGTGCCCATCTCTCTCCAAGCTCTTAACCGTAGGCAATCTTATTGTTATCAAATCCTTGTCTATGACTTTGTAAATATTTATCTAGTTTTCAAGAACGATCACATGGAGAATTTTATTTCCTAAGTTTAGTTGTTGCTTGCTAAAGTAAATCTCAAATTCTTCTGGAGAATGGTCTTTTTGATATTTGTTATCTCTAAGCGTTTTATCGAGTTGAATTGTTGTTTTCTATGTCTGAACAAAATTGAGGAATTTTCAATTTGAGAAGGCTGCTAGAAGAAAGGGAAAACATTACAGCCCATCTTTTACTCTATCTGATGACGATTTTTTTCACATCCCAACTGTGCGATCTTCTTTTTGTTCACCCAGAACATGGGTACTAGGCAATCTGTAGAGACAGAACATGTGATTCGTAGTGGTATGTGTTGTTGTTGTTGTTTTCAAATCCCTTTAGCTGTGAGCATTTCGCTCTTGGCAGCGCAATGCCTCCCTCAAGTAACCACATGTCCTTGTCATCTGGTCAACGCCAGAGTATAGCAGGCTTTGTAAGTCTGTAGTTGTGTGTAGGAGCCTGCGTCGAAGAACTGCCAGGTTTGGGCAGTGAAGGAGAAGATGTTCAACGGTTTCCTCGTGGTAGTCACAATGTCTACAATGGGGTTCCCACGTGGGGTTAATTCTGTTTATGTGCAAGTAGTGGTATGTGTAACAGGCTGCAAAACTGAATGTTCCTCTAGAGACTTAAATGGCCAAGACAGATATTGCTAAGCTGTGTAGGCCTTTTATCTGAGGGGATACTTGAATGTTTAAGTTTTTACCTGTTTTCATTTTTTGATGAGATTGTCATGAAACATTGCTCTTTCCTAGGGTAAAATCCAAAGTTACAAATGTGGGGATGTGAACAGTGTGGTGACTCTGGCTTCCTTCCACCACGGCGATGTGATGGGCGTTGGTGGCATCGCCTACGGCTCCGACTGTTCTGTGGTGAGTGTGCTTGTCTAAGATTTTGACAATTGGAACAAAAGTGAAATCAAAAGCTTTTCTGCGTTTTTTATCTTATCCCAATTAAACAGAAGCAATACGTTGAATATTATTTGCAGAACCCTTATGATTCATGAAAAAAAAATCTGTCAGATACAGTCGAACCAGCCTAAACGGAAACCTATATAAAACAGAAACCTGTCTTAACGGAATCTCCCCGCTCCCCCCTTGATATATTCCTCTTTAATTACCTGTATAAAACGGAAACCTGTCCAACGCGGAAACAGAAAGAAAAATCCGCTCCCTTCCGGGGGTTTCACCTGTCTAAGACGGAAAATGCTTTGCCTGCTCAGCCCTTATTTGAATCAAAACTCACAAGTTTGGTTCCGTCGGCTCTAAACTTAACGCTATGGCTATGCCGCTGGGCGAGGAAGGGTAATAGGGGTGCAATTTAGGGGTTGATGTGACCCCATCATGTGAACCCTGAGCGATGCAGATGGTCAGGGTAGTGTGGGTGTGAAATCTCATGACTGCCTGTGAGAGTGCTCGAGTAGCGAGCCACTACAGAAACTTTCCTGGGTAGCCAGAAGCCAGAGGTGTGAAATTAGATTGATCAATGCCTGCCGCCCTCATCATACGGCCAGCCGAGAAAAGAGTTCCTCAAATCGTAGTTACAGGATGGCAGTGAGGTATGGCATTGGAGGGTGGAGCTAAGGATGGAATCAAAGGAGAGGTCAAACAGTGTTCCTATGAAAGGCAAGAACTGGTGGTAAATATAAGTAAGACTGACGCATGTCATTATCAGACAGGATAGCAATTGAGAGGTGTGAAGTTTTGACCACTGCTTGCTGATCAGACAAGCGATCCTTGATCCCACCGGCTGGGTCTTTGAACCCCCTCCACCCCCCCCCCCCCCTTCCATCTTCCCATAAATTATAAAATCCCCTAAGACGGAAAATGTCTAAGACGGAATTTTTTTCTGGCTCCCTTGCGATTCCGTCTTACACAGGTTCGACTGTATGTTCAAAATGTGATTTTTTTTTCCTTCCAGACTGCTGAAAGACAGCATTGTATTCCAAATATTTATTCACAGACAGATTGTTACATTTCCATCATTTTATTTGTGCAGAATCCAAGTACGTAATTGATATTGAACCATCATACTTTCATGTTATGAGCATTAATGACATTGTCAAATTATGTATATTGAACTTTGAAATGTTTTTCTGATAAACAGTTTATTTCAATAATATGCTTTGTTACTGTTTTATTTTCTGACTGTTTAATAACTTTCTGCTTCAATGTTGATTTAAGTTTGTAACTCTGTTTGTGCAATATTTCAGTCCCTGAGGGAGGATGGACTTGTGCAAGTGTGGAAAACTGTTGATGGGACCTTTGTGTCTCAAGTCAGCATACAGGAACCTGTAAGTTTTGCTAGTGAAACATTTTTTCAATGACAAACGGTTAGTTTTTAAGTCTCCGCATAGTGTTCTATATGAAGGATTTATTTACTTTAACAACTAGTTTTGTATGTTGTGGGCCTCGTTTTGAGACTTTCGGACCAGTGACCACATGGTCATGGATTCGAATCGCATCCGGGACCCGATGTTGTGTCCTTGGGAAAGGCACTTTAAACAAATTCTCCTCACTTCACACTGATTGGAATGGCTACCAAGCTATAGACACCAGAAGATCTTGTCAGTTTGTTAGTGTTTTAGCACATGCAATCTGCAGCTTGCACTGCATGTTTCCTGGGAAGCCGAGAATGTTTGTGAGTGTTCAAGAGTCTACTGTGGTAATAATAGTTGTAAAGTGCACAGAACATGCTGTGGAGCACGGATACGTGATATATAAATACAGATAAAGACTAAAGGGAAAAACGACGGTAGTCACATACTGAAATTCGTAAGGGTATCAATTTTAAACGCTTGTTGACTCATAACTGTATTTCTGTTCAACTGTTGGTTGATTATTATTGTTAGATTTACCATTCAACAACACTTAACAATAAACCACCTGTCAAACAAATATGAAGTTATGAGTCCGCAAGCTTTTAAAATTGGCACCCTCACAATTTCCAGTTTGTGACTACCGTCGTTTTCCCCCTGAGCTCTTCCTATTATTAAATTATCATCATTATACAACTAGAAGTAGACCAAGTGTAACGTACTCGGAGAACTTGAACAGATCTGTGGCAGGAAAGACCAGGATAATTATAGTTGTTTTTTGTTTTTAAAAAAGCATCTTAGCAGAGAAATGAGTGGTGAACCATGATTCCTGGTGTCTGTTTCTGATCTGGCACGTAAAGAAGACGAACTGCAACAAGAACTAATAATATGATTCTAATTGGTCGTTTTTAAGCTCGAGGGGGCTATCCCGCAAAATGCTGTTTTGAGAAAATTGAAGATAAAGTTTTTGCCCCTTGTTCAGTTTCTTTAAAATACAAGGAGAGTTTTCTCTGTGACCAAACAAATATACACACCAATGAAATCAAACTTCTCCTATAGGTAGGGCAATGCCCACTTTTGGTGTAGGTTAACATTTCTAGGAACCCCCGAAATCTGAGTTAGCCCGCTTGTCCTACAAAGCGACCAATTTTACTGTTAGCTAGGGAAAAACACTTTGTTCAAAGATTCTTTTCACCCAATGAATTGACTCATTATCAGAAAATGGAAGATGTCAAGAGGAAATTCACATCCTGTTCTTTTATAGGGGGAGACTCTGGCGTGCAGCAGAATTGCTCAGTATGCGGCCGTCGGCACCAAAGGGGGACAACTGTGCTTCATCGACCTGACCAACCCAGAGCATCCTCGGCTCATCATGAGGCACCGGCTGTTCAAGAACCCCATCAAACATCTTGTGTATGTTTTGTTCATTTGTCGGATTTGACATTTTGCTACGTCAAAATTTGGCGCTCATATGACCTTATGCAGTTGCGAGCGCCGTAAAATCTCTACTAAAACTAAACTACGTCAGAATTACAAAGCTCTATCTGACATTTTTGGCCATTTTGAGTTACAAAGACCATGAGGTCAGAAAGCAAATGCTCTAAACACTCCAGCAAAATCATAAGAATATCCATTGTCATTATCAAAATATTTAAAGAATTGCATTTGGAAGATCTTGATGTATTGTGAAACTAGAAAAAATTTGACATCAAATTTTTCTAAGCTAGATGTTGATCAGATAGAACGATGTAATTCTGTGGTTGTGATCTATGTTGGAATCTCTGTGAACATGTTTCCCTTAGATCATCTCCTATTTAAAAAAAATTAGAATCAGCCTTTTAGCTAAAGATCAGGGCTTTAAAGTTGCCTTGCATCTTATCTATGAGATACAAAATTAGACGACCCCCAAGAAATGTGCGTCGTAAGTAATCAACATAAGATTTATACCAAAACTTTGGCTCTCAAGTCTTCCTCATCTTATTCACACGTGAGTCTTATGCACAGTGATATATGGTATTTAGAGTAACAATACATCTGCAATTTTGTGGACATAATTGGGACTTTCTAGAAAAGTGCCTTGCAGAGTAATATAGAAAAAGAGCTCTTATCTTTCACACGTCTTGTTCTCTATAGTCGAAGAGATATTGTTCTCTATAGTATCATCATTCAATATAAGGAGATAAAGCATGACTGTACCCACCTCTTTGTCGTTAACTTCTTTCTTCAGATCAGAATGTCACTTGGGCTTGCAAACTTTATATTTCCTATCAAACATCTGTTGTCTTTATCTCCCCTCCTTCTTTTTTGCGTTTGTTACTCTCTTGTAACACCTCTTATCTTCGGCACTTATATGACCTTATTGTGTTGCAAGTGCCGTAAAACACTTACTAAAACTAAAACTTTCTAAAATGAAGGAGGTTAAAAGAAGTTTTCCACAATTTATCTTTTTTGAAAAAAAACCTTTTTCTTCATTTTGCAGATTCAATGGAGATGCAGGGACTTTACTTTTCGCTGCTTCAAACGACCATAACATTTTCATTATTGATGCTAGACCCACGCAAGGTTTTGCCATTCTGGGCTTTGTAGGTGAGTGAACAAACTGTTGTTGAGATTAGTCCCTCCCCGGGGTTTAATGAACCCCACATAATTAAGTAATATTTGATAATTTTTTGGTATAATTTCTCATTATTTTCCTGTATCATTCTTTGTTAAAAGTAACACAATAGCATAATTTCACGGTTTTCGGCTCAGTTTGTATAATTTCAGAATTTTTTTGGCTTAAAACCGCGGGGACAGTAGTAAATAAACCTCATTTATTTAGTTTTACTTTTGTACCGTTCATCCCTTGCTTGAATTAAGAAAACTGTGTAACTTAAAACATTTCCCTCAATTGCCCTTCAAGATCTCTTCAGAGGATTCTTTGTTCATTAGCTAAAAGTATTGTCAGCTTGGGTTGAGCAATAAATGGTCGCTTTTAAGGACAAGTGGGCTAACCCAGATTTCGAGGGTTTCCAGAAATTTTGACCTACACCAAAAGTGGGTATTGCCCTACCTATAGAAGAAGTTTGGTTTCATTGGTGTGTATATTTGTTTGGTTATAGAGAAAACTCTCCTTGTCTTTTAAAGAAACTGAATAAGGATTCAAAAACTTTACCTTCGATTTTTCTGAAAAACAGCATTTTTTGGGATAGCCCCATTGTGCTTAAAAGCGACCTAATATGTTCAGTGTAGCAGTATTTGGCTATCATCCTCAATTGCTCTTTTAAATGTTGGTCAGCAAAAAAGGTACAACATTAGAAGGAAATCTTTCAGAAATGCATATCAAAATGGTCATGGTTATTCACTGTTGCGCAAAAAAACCCCCAACAACAAGAATAATTCGAAGAGAAAGCTAGCAGATTTCTTAGTAAGAAGTTGGACCAACAACACTTTATTAACCCTATCTGTACTTTGTGTTTCACTTTCGTATCCATACGACGTGGGGAACTTGGTGCCACCACTTTCAAAGAGGAAATTTACTTGTTATTCCGATTCATACGCTTTGCATAGCAGTCTGTCAAAATGATTTTTGAGAAATACTGAAAGTTTCAAAGAGATTTTCGTACTAGAAGTATTCTAAAATGTGAAGAATACAACCCCGGAGGTACGAAATGACCCCAGGGCGTACAGATAGGGTTAACATCCAGACGTTCTGCTCTGTGATGGTAGTGCACCCATGTGGTGAATCAGAAAATGTTTGGATGAGTAAATGTGGATTTTAAAATATTTTTGGGTTTTTTTTTGTGTTTTGTTTTGTTCGTGAACTGAGCCTTCATCTCCATTATGACTTTTTCAGAGGTAAGCGGAAATGTGGAGGCGATGGCCACCTACGTGAAGGACAACGACACTCTGCTGGTGGCCTCATGTAACAACAACCCGGACATCTTTGGGTCCAACCTTCTCTACAGATTCAACTTCACTGATGAGCTCATCCGAGGTAAAGTAAAGTTGTTCCCCCATCTGACCCGGACATTGGGGATTGCCTTGTTAGTGAGACAACTTCCTGGACCTTTGGCATATTGTGGTAGGGTGGCCAGTTCCTTTCCTTGCCGCCTTTACTTCCCCAACTCAAAGTCAGGTACCCGTTACTGCTGGGTGGGTAGGAGGGGGCGAAAAAAATCCCTGTCCGAACGGAGGCTCAAACCCGGACTTTCCATTTTGGAGACAAGCACACTAGCCGCTCCGCCACTGCACCCTCCGAGGTATGGAAACAAAAATGGGAATATTGTATTGTGCACTCTTTGTCTGTTGTAACATCACAAGACGAGACAGGCAGAGAAATGAAGAAGTAAGAGCAACTATCAGCATCGAGACCTGCCTGCATTACATAGAAAGAAAATAAAATGGCTTGGCTACCTGTTACATATATGTCACCTGACCAGCCAGCCTCAAAAACTTATAACACCATGCACTCAGGCTATAAAGGAAGAGGAAGGCTACGCAATATTAAAAGGTATATTGCCCCAGCTGTAAACATTTAAAAATCTGTAGAAACCACCCACTTGGATTTTTTATTAGTATTTATTAAAGAATTTTCTAGAATACAGCTTGCAGGTGTTTACAAAGATGTTGATCTGTTAAGACAAATTGATACAAGTCACTGTGCAAAAATTGGAGAACCTATGTTTGATAGTTGAGGAGATATTTGAAAATAAGTCGCACCATGAATTTTTGACCACCCTATAGCGTTTGTCTCTCTCATACTCTTTCAGATATTCGCTTCCACTACAAGAGTCCGATGAATGACTTGAAGGAAGAATCCTGTTCTGCTCTCAAGATGGGCTTGAGACATGCTATCTGTGGCCTCGCTGTTGGACAAGGAGAGATTGTCTTTGCTCTCAGTGCTGCCAACAAGAAGTTACTCAGTTTCTCTATGCCGGAGCCGGACAAGAAGCTGAAAAAGGTGTGAAAAGAAATCCAGTTGAAAATTCAAATAGGTTATTTTTTTCTTAACTCTTTACGTGCCAAGAGTAATCAGCACATAATCAACGGTGTAGAGAAAGGCACTGATGTATATCAGCGTTTGGTACAGAAAGAGTTGATTTATGTGTTTATTAACACTTTTCGGTTACTTGGCGTTTATTGCGCCGGTGAAAATTATCCGTTATGGTCACCTAGCGCTTTTCTGCGCCAGACCCGAGAAGTCCGTTGCAGTCGCTTTCCTGTCTTTGTGACAAGATGGGATATTTTGTACTGTTGACTGTGTGACTGCAAAGTATTAAGGATAGGGTTTCTTAAGATACGTCTTTTCTCAGTGAAGATTCCTGTTCTGATTGTCTCTCAACGTTTGAAGATGAGCCGTTTTGGGTCACTTTATCAAAGAAACAGAAGTTCGTTATTCAAACAGATTTTTCAATTCTGTGTTTTTTATCAGAAACTTTATAAAAAATTCGTCTGACCATGTGCATAGTAGGAAATATGCACTTTGGGCTTTCTGATTTGTATTTGATGTTAGGAAATGGGCCACAACATTGTCTTTAGTCTGTTGATTGGATGTATTGTGGCGTCGGTGGCCTAGTGGTTAGGCTGTCAGACTCGATACCGTAAGGTTGGGGAGTTTGAATCCCATCAGGGGTATGATGTTGTGTTCTTGGGAAAGGCACTTTACCCGAATTTTCCTCACTTCACCCAGGTGGGAATGGGTACCCAGCTATAGACTGTGAAAGGTCTTGTCAGTTTTTTTGTGTTTGAGCTGCTTGCACTGTATGCTTCCCAGGAAACTGAGAATGTTTCGGAGTGTTCTATGGTCTGCTGGGGTAATGATATAGTGTAAAGCGCATAGAGCTTGCAGTTGAGCGAGGATATGCTCTGTATAAATACTATCTATTATTCGTGTATCTGCTACGTCTTTAATTAAAGAGTTAACAAATACAGGCCTATTCTTCATAAGTTTTTAACGTTATCTTTCTTTATATTTGTTCTGTTCCTATGTCTGGATGAAAATAGTCTCTCTCTCTGTGTGTGTGTGTGTGTGTGTGTGTGTGTGTGTGTGTGTGTGTGTGTGTGTATGTATGTGTGTGTGTGTGCATTAATGTATATTGCTTGAGAAGAAAGGAAGTAGTAAGAAAGGTTTTTGAAAAATGGGTATTCCAATGTAAAGCGCATTGAGCTACTTTTTTGGAAATGCGCTATATAAATGTTATATATTATTATTATTATTATTATGGTAATCATGCGGACAAATCATGTTCAGTTAGAGTGGACTCCACCGGACACATAAATCATCATCATCCGACTGGCGTGGGCGATCATGGACCTCCACTTCACTCTGTCTTGCGTTGCAGCAATGGTGTCTGTTGTTCTTGCTGCTCCTAGCCATGTTGTCATCTTGTCCAGTATCTTTTCCCTCTATCTGCCTCTGCCTCTCTTTCCATCAAACTTGCCTGTTGTTACAATATTCTCCAATGCTTCTTTCCCCATTGTGTGTCCGAAGAAATTTGCCTGTCGCTTTCTTATATTCGTCATAAGCTGTCTTCTATATAAATACAATAAGTAAAAAGATTTGAGAAAACTCCTCTTTATTCGTCCTCAATCGCGCATCTCATTTTGCAGATTGACCTACTTCTGAACCCGTCGGGGGAGTATCCAGGCCACCAGCTTTCTGGAGGGGACGTCACTCTGAGCCACCATCTCAAGTGGCTCCTCTCGCATGCCCCGGACGGACAAGTCAAGATCAGGACAATCGGTGCCTTGGTAAATATCTACAGAGGAGTCTGCTGAAATCAAAACCTACAGAACTGCCAGATTTTCTTTTGATTAGCTGTTGTGTTTTCAGTGTAGAAAAGTTGCTCAAATCACACATCTGTCGTCCTTTCCTTCTTTTTTGTGTTTGTTACTCTCTTATAACACCTCTAATCTTAGGCACTTATATGACCTTATTGTGTTGCAAGTGCCGTAAAACTCTTACTGAAAAGAAAGGAGATGGGGATGCTCAAGTTTCTATTAGTTTATTGTCATAAAGAGATGCAGACAATGATAAGTCTGCATATTATTGACATAAGGACTGGGTACAATGTAATAAATAGGTGCTTAATGAAGTAGGCTAGATCATCAAGACCCTCGCAACAAAAGTATGTCCCCAATGACTGGTACTTATTTTAATTCATTAATTAAATGTGTGCGAGTGGTTGGCGGGTGCTCTGGTGTGGCTGGCTCCTTCTTTCCTATCAAACATCTGTTGTCCTTATCTCCCCTCCTTCTTTTTTGTGTTTTGTTACTCTCTTGTAACACCTCTAATCTTTGGCACTTATATGACCTTTTTGTATTGCAAGTGCCAGTCTTACTAAAACAAAATTAAACGTGTGTGTGCATTTCATGTTGCAGAGTTTGTGCAATATTGAGATTTCTTTTTGACACGTTGTCTTTTACGTCTACAGGACAGAACGGCTGCTTTCATTCCCCACGATTATAACAAGGGAGGCATTAAGGCTGTGGCTTTCTCGGACGACTGCCAGTACATTCTGTCCTGTGGCTATGACAGCACGGTCAGCTGCTACCACTGGAAGTAAGTGTATCCCGTCCTGAAACCACTGGAACTAAGTTTATCCCATCCTAAGTTTATCCCATCCTGGAACCACTGGAAGTAAGTTTATCCCATCCTAAGTTTGTCCCATCCTGAAAACACTGGAAGTAAGTTTATCCCATCCTGAAACCACTGGAAGTAAGTTTATCCCTTCCTGAAACCACTGGAAGTCAGTTTATCCCATCCTGAAACCACTGGATATAAGTTTAGCCCATCCTGAAACCATTGGAAGTAAGTTTATCCCATCCTGAAACCACTGGAACTAAGTTTATCCTGTCCTAAGTTTATCCCATCCTGGAACCACTGGAAGTAAGTTTATCCCATCCTAAGTTTATCCCATCCTGAAAACACTGGAAATAAGTTTATCCCATCCTGAAACCACTGGAAGTAAGTTTATCCCTTCCTGAAACCACTGGAAGTCAGTTTATCCCATCCTGAAACCACTGGATATAAGTTTATCCCATCCTGAAACCATTGGAAGTAAGTTTATCCCATCTTGAAAAGGCAGTATTCACTACCAACCTCAATGCGAGACTGTTTTTCTCATAGAAATTGTTATACATCTACATAGTTATTATACGCACAATTTGACAAAAATTGCCAAACCGTCAGAAAAATGCCGATTTTTAACTTCATTGTTTTGACGAGCGCCTGATTCCCCCTCGATGCCTCACATTTATTAGCACATTTCTCTCTCTCTGTGGTTTCCAGCCATTTGAAAAGCAAGGCATCAGCTAGCAGTGCCAAGCAGAAAAGGGACAGAGATATGGACTTTGTGGCCCGAGAGAATCAAAAACTGACGGAGTATCAAGAGTGGAATCAGCCTCCTCCTAGCATGAGACGAGCTTCTCAAGTTGAGAGAGAAAGAAAAGTAAGTTGAAAGAGAAATAATAATAATAATAATAAATAACATTTGTATAGCACATGTCCCCGCTCGAAAGCAAGCTCTATGCGCTTTACACTATATTATTACCCCAGTAGACCATAGAACACTCAGAAACATTCTCAGCTTCCCGGGAAGCATACAATGCAAGAAGCTGGTTAAGCACTCAAACACTAACTAACTGACTAGATCTTTCCCTGTCAAAAGCCAGGTATCCATTCCCACCTGGGTGAAGTGGGGAAAACTTGTGTAAAGTGTCTTTACCAAGTACACAACGTCAGGCCTGCGGCTCGAATCCCCAAACACGCAACCTCACGATTACGAGTGTGGTAACCTAACCACTAGGCCACCGACGCCACAGGTTTATAAAAAAATGTTATGGTTCAGGTTGTCTTTGTTTTGTAAATTAAAAAATTCCATCCGTGTTAACAAATCTATGGAAACAAGAAGTTGCTCCCTGATAACAAATGCTCAAATACTTGGCTGTTTTTATGTCCCGTTCTCCTTGAACATTGTTCTTCATTAGTTTTTCTAATGGCCTTGTTGTTGTTGTTATCGATCCAGCAACAGCTGAGCTCTCCCCCTTCTGTCCACTGCCATGTAGTGTTAAGTGTAGGTCTGCTGCAGTTGCTGTAATGTTCTATACTGAGTGTGTTGTCAATGCTAGGTCTGGGAGGGAGAAGGGTAGCTCTGATACAATGGCCTTCTAATGGACTTAACAATCTCATTTACTCCTTGATTAGATTTGTCTTTATTTCCCTCGGTCCTCATGCTTTCTCTGTGTGTTTTGATGAGTACGTGTTCCGTAATGTATGTACCCTGCCACAGTAAATTTTGTGGGTGGTTGGCGGGCGCTCTGGTGTGGTTTGCTCCTTCTTTCCTATCAAACATCTATTGTCCTTATCTCTCCTTCTTCTTTTTTATTTTTGTTACTCTCTTGTAACACCTCTAATCTTCTGGCGCTCATATGACCTTATGCAGTTGCGAGTGCCGTAAAACCTCTACTAAAACTAAACTAAACAGTAAATTTCTCTTTGTGGAAGTCTTTAAGATCTTGTCTATCTTTCTTGAAAGTTAGACCAACATTCTATTTCGTATGTGTCTTTTATTTATGTATTTTTGTATCACAGGAGCGCATTGAGCAAGCAAAGCAGGGCGCTCAAGACAAAGACGAGATTTACGTCTCCCCTCCACCATCACCGAGGGCCAATGCCACATGGCTTGAGCAGAGAGAAATAGATGTAAGGCTTTTACATTGTTTGTTGATTGATGATACAAATTTTATGTGTCAGGACGCGATGGAATTGATGATACAAATTTTATGTGTCAGGACGCGATGGAATTGATGATACAAATTTTATGTGTCAGGACGCGATGGAATTGATGATACAAATTTTATGTGTCAGGACGCGATGGAATTGATGATACAAATTTTATGTGTCAGGACGCGATAGAATTGATGATACAAATTTTATGTGTCACGACGCGATGGAATTGATGATACAAATTTTATGTGTCACGACACGATGGAATCGGGCGCTCATCAATTTTTGGGCAGGTGGAGTTATTGGTATTGTCTTAAAGCCTATTTATTTGCTTTGCTTTGGATGAAAAAAAAATGTGCATGTATCTTGAACAGTCGTTGAGATATTTGTGATTGATGGAAGTGGGAGTCTCAGGGGTAAAATTAGAGAGAAAATGGCCACCAAAGTTTGGTAACTTCAATAGCTTGAGAGTCCTTGAAACTGAAAAATTACATATTTTGTGCCTTTAATGAATATTTTTCAGTTAAATCCACCCTGAAATATGTTTTTAAATGGACAGAAAAGGTGTTGAGCGTAAAAAATAAAATTACAAAAAAATAAATAATTGCCCAACATCCAGAAAATGCCAGATTCTTTGGTTTCATTATTTTGACGAGCACCTGATTTCACCGCGATGCCTCACATATCTGATTAAATTTTGTGGACTATAATGCATGACTGTGATATTGTTTTCTCTCTAAATTGTAAAGGCAGTGAATTTTCATTTTCCACCCATTTGTTTTGTTGTTGTTGTCGTTTCCTTATTATTTTATCAATATGAAGTTACTTAGCACAATGAATTTTGAAAAAGAATTAATAAGAAAACCTAAGTAAAAAATTATGATTAATGCTGTGACTCTTTCTTGTTTGATGTTACAACAGAGCATGTTAACCTTTTTTAAAAATATTTTCATTACCTTGTTTTATTTTGTTTTTCATCAGGCGAGAAGACTAGAGAACCAACATTTTGCCGATGTGAAGCGGGATATCCGAACCCAGATCAGAGACATCCGGAGAACGGTAATTTGTTGTTCCGTGTAATAACAGACTTTCATTTTGTACTTTATCAAGAAAGGGGACCTTATTTTGAGGTCTTCATTTCTGACTTTCATATAATTTCATCTAATTTTGTTTGAGATAACCCAGATAGATGTAGAAAAATCTTGAGTAGACACTAATATTGGCTCTTATTTTTAGCTTACAAGAAGACACGTGGGTTGTTGGTGGGTGCTCTGGTGTGGTTTGCTTCTTCTTTCCTATCAAACATCTATCGTCCTTATCTCCCCTTCTTCTTTTTTCTGTTTGTTACTCTCTTGTAACACTTCTAATCTTCTGGCGCTCATATGACCTTATGCAGTTGCGAGTGTTGTAAAACCTCTACTAAAACTAAAACTAAACAAGAAGACAAATTCAGTATTAATGTTTTTAGTTTTTGTCTTTTCTTTTTTCTTTTGTACGTTTAGATTCAGCACATGATGTCCCAAAACAAAGACCTTCCAGAAATTGAAAAGTTAGGTCGGCATGAGTTTGACCTTGACCTTGAAGAGCAAAATCGCCTCCAGGCTGAGGGTGAAGCGGAGATCAAAAAGGTAAATGCTTTTCTCCACTCACCTTTCTTCTGACATACTTCATTAAGGAAAATTGAATCACCAGTTTGTTTCTAAACAGGGAACTGTGAGAAATCCTCGCAGCTTTTCATTTGCTGTGAATGGCAACTTGTCGTTGCTTTTGGGCTTGTTTTTCTTTACAGGGAGGAGAATTATTTGTTCTGCTTCTTATTCCTGTACAATTTTTCTATAGTTACAAAAGCAGAAGAAAGGGCCGGAGATAAATTTATGCTTTTCTCTGTATGTGCAGAGATATAATGGGTATGTGAGGTTTTTGTAAATGTAGATTTGTGTATATGTGGGGGTTTGTTTTCTTAATATCAACACAATTTATCCAGGATTCTTGCTGATGTATTCACTCTTTTTGCAGAGGATTTATCTTTTGATTAATGATTAACTACATTCAGTTGTGCCTTTTAAACGAATTTGCCAACTTATGAGGAGCGCCAGTTGATATTGTGGCATTGTTCCTTTGTTTACTGTCATAAGAAAAAACTCTTGGACTCCAGCCAGTCCATGTTATCTACTATCAAACTTTATATTTATTACATAAAGCATTCATTTTTAATTTATATTATAAATATATTTATTTTGTACAGATAGGTTGAATAGAAATGAAGTTAAAGAAGGATTTGCGATATTGAAAAATGGATGGCAAAATAGAGCCGTACTAAGGTGAAACAGCTTTCCGTGTACTAAGAGTTAACTGATATATTCATCCTGCAGGTGCGAGAGGATATTGAGTTTGACAATCTGGCCAAGCTGTACCTGAGAGAAAAGATCAAAGAGGAATGTTGGGACAAAATGCAAGTGAAAGGAAGAGCACTTCAGGTGAGACACTTTTTTATCCAGTACCTTTCCACTAAATGCTCAAAGTGTCACAAACACTTCTCTACCGGAGTTCGTCTCATTAGCCATTGCAGAAGTCACGAGAAGTCTTAGCTCTTATTTCTTCTGTTTTGCTTAGGAAATGTGAGGCATGCTGACAAAATGAGTTACTTCTCGCAATTCTCAAATGAAGATATTGGCAAAAAATCGACATTAGGGTCAAATTTGTAGATTTTCTATTGACGCCATGTTCTTTAACTATAACCTATCTTTTATTATTTCATACTGTCTTATAAATTGTAAAAACTTCACCTATAAGCGTGATGTATCTATTTCCTTAAGGCTTGAATCCGAGAAGTGTCTCATTTTGTCAGCACGCTTCACAAATATTCTCCCCTGTGGATGTATTGGTCATTGTCACACATTGACAGACAAACTTTTATCATTATCATTTTCCTAAATTAAAAAAAAAATTGCTTTTACAAGACATTGTATCTTCTGTACACCTTGATCTCATGACTCTGAAAGTGAACACCACTGTGTCATGATGTTGCATTTGTTTTTACATTTAGTTGAATTCGGTGGGTGTAGTCACCTCAAAGGATAAAAAGTTTTCAGATGTCTTTTTTCATACATGTAACCTCACAATCTTCACATGCTTTTCCTCAGGCTTTCAATTCATCCCTGGAAGTGAGTAACTTCCCCCTGCGGCCCAGGACAATGGAGATTATCAACCTGATCAAGACCGTGAGCACCCGCCGGAAGATTGAGATGAGAGAGGCCCAGGTATCTGTTTCTCATGTTCTAGTATGAAACATAGGAGTATCTGTTTCTGTTTTTTTTTTCTGGTAAGAGTTTTATGGTGCTCGCAACTGCATAAGGTCATATGAGCACGCGGACACATTAAAAATTTTCAGTTTTGTAGGAAATTTTCAATTTTGCCCAGGTGGTGGCCGAAGCCTACTCTTATCGATTTTAGACCACCAAGGGATCTTTAACGTGCACAACTTGCACACGTGACCCTCTGAGATTTTTCGCCCTTGTCCGAGAAGGCTAGGTGTAGATCTTTTCTACCAGAAGATCAGGGGTGTGGCTGAAAGACAGCAGTAAGAAGGATCCCAAGAGTAGCAGTAGAAAGGCTGCAGAAAGGGTCAGGAGCTCAGAGGAGGGGGCAGAGGAGGTGAGGGGTAGGGGGCAGAAAGAGGAGACGAAAGCAGACGACAAAACATTGGGAGAGAACAGGAAAGGAAACAATTTTAGAGAAGAAAATTTTTCTGTCACTACCCAGATTCGAACGCTGGACTTTTGAATTAGAGGCAAACACCTTAAGCTCTAGGCCACGAGAGCCCCTGTATCTGTTTCTCTTGTTCTAGTATGACACACAGGATACAGGTATACGTATTGTTGGCAGACTGTTCAAGTGTACTAAGCTGAGAGGGCCAAATTGTTTAGGAGAGAGAAAAAAAAAGTTTTATTCTTTTAATGATTGTACATACATTATGTACGTTTATTAACCCTATCCATGCTATCATGTCCATACGACGTGGGGAACTCTGTGCCACCATTTTCCAAAAAGGAAATTTACTCGTTAATCCGATCCGAACGCTTTGCATAACAGTCTGTCAAAGCGATTTTTTTAGAAATGCTGAAAGTTTCAAAGAGATCTTCGCGCTAGAAGTATTCTAAATGTGAAGAATATAACCCCGGGGGTACAAAATGACCCCAAAGCGTACGGATAGGGTTAAGATTTATAACTTTTACTAGCCGGCCAATGATCAAGTTTTTTGCTGGGTTAAGCTTACTAAGCATCCAAGCATTGCATTTTTCTAAATATGTTTACAGATTAGTGGTACTGAATGTTGTATGTTTTTCATCAGAATGAAGTGTGTGTTGCCTACTTTATAGGTTTCTTTCAGACCAATAATTATCTGCAAGTACAAAATACAATATGAGGCATAACTGACAAATATTTATATTTTTCAGGCAAGAAAGGAACTGGTTGAAAAGAGCGCGAAACCATCTTCAAGAGTAAGTTTTTGAAATAATTGTAGTTTTTTTAGACTTTCTCTTTCTGAAATACTTTGTTTATATTTTAAGTTGTTATATTTGGAAGACTGTGACCTGCTGGAAAAGAATAAAAATACTATATTAGTTTGATTTTTAAAATCAACGAGGTAGAAAAGTTGATAATGAATAAATGTTATTTGGGTTATGTTCAAGTCTGACTGCAGCATATGGTTCTTATCATGCTCAAAACATATTGAATCAGAGGACAGTTTTCTGTGCTATCATTGAATCTTTAAGAATAATACATCAAAGAACTATTAAAATGTGTGTGTGTGCGTACATGTGCATGCATGCATGTGTGTTTGCGTTTGCATGTGTTGCACGCATGCGTGCTTGTATGTGTGTGTGTGTGTTTGTGCATACACTCGTACAAACTGACCAGTGAGGGTTTGTTAGGAAATCTTCTCATAGCTTCAGTTAGTATCAAATATATATAGTGTTATATACAGTGCTTCCAATTTTTTGCCAAATGGCGGATTTCCACCAGACTTCATCTGCCGATCCGATGCCTGCCACCTCATTGATGGTTTCCCCCTCCCATGTTTCTGACTTTCTCTTTTGTAAAACAAACTACGTCTTAGATTTATGCTGCGTTGCCTTTTGTGAAACCGTGCTGTAAACATCAAACTTAATATACCTTTCACTGTTGGAAGTTCTGATGGCTGAATAGACTGCGTGTCTGGGTTTGAAGTCGTTCTATTATTATTTCATGAGAGTGGGAACGAATCCCGATCCCGGAAGTTTTTTTTTTTTTCCCCCTCCTCCCGACTGCCCAACAATTGTTTCCCCCATTACAATCATTTGTTGCTTTGCAGTTTTTTATGTAGTGATGAAGCATGCACATTCTGGTGTTGTCCCCAGTGGGAGATTTTACTTACAAAGTATACTTTTCCTTTTACCAATTTAGGCCTGGTTAAAGTTAAATAGAGGCTTCACTTGGTGTTTGAATCTCATTTTAAAAAAAATTTTAGACTCAGAAAAGCCAAATTTTAGCTTTTCAATTGCAAATTTTCTTCAGCTTCCGGGAGCCGTTGTCCCCTAGACCCCCCCCCCCCCCCGCCAATTTTTCCTCCGTTTTGGGATTTTGCTGTTGGAAGCACTGTATATATAGGTAGAATGCTATGCCACTGACTCAGTCAGAGCAATCATTACCTAGAAAAGATGCAGAATAGATTGAACTGTATGTTTGAAGTGCCAACATTTTTATTCCAAGCTACATTTTTCTATTTGCAGGAAGACGAAGGAGATGGGGATGAAGCGGAGGATGATGGAAAGGAGCATCCGTCTATTTCTGGAAGCTTAGGTAAGTTCAGTCAAAATTGTCTGAAATGGCCACCCATTGTCCCGGAGAAAAGTAGTAGTCTTGGAGAGGTGGACATCTAGGGTAGTGTCAATATAATATACTAGCTGGGCCCTCTTTTGATGAAAGGAATGATCAGTGCATTAACATCAACTGAAAGTCATTGGCCTACTAAATTTACACTCTACTGGAATGGAGCAATAAATCCTGAGAGATGCAAAAAATTAGAAGGTTTAGATATAGTGATGTGTAGATTGATTCTCTATTCCGTTTTCGTGGTTGTACACTCCAGAATTTCAAAGGTGTGGAAACAATGCGCACGGCTAAGGAACGGAAGCCTCACATGTTTACAATGGCGTTTTAGAAGACGAACTTTCCCAAGAATAGATCTAAACGAAACTAAAGAAAAACTAAAAATTAAACTACAGTGACTTCTGGCTCCTCAATAGAATTGTGCACCTTTTTAATGATTCTAAAACACCATTAAGTCTGTTAAATTCGAAAGTTAAGTGGTTCTGAAGTTTTAGGCGGCCAAAGTGAAGAACTTTCACAAATATAATATGTATAGATATAGGAAGACTGCAAAGGAGGGAATAGGGTAAGTGGGAAACAGTTGTTTGCGCAGGTGATTGTCTTGTACAGGTGGCCATATTTTGATCCGGCTCAACTGTAGTATATTGCAGCATTTGTAGGTTTAATGGTTTTTCTGTATTGTAAGGCTATTCAAAAATTTGTACCTTTGTTCTAAACACTTGTCTTTTCTTTGATAAACTGAGCCAGGTGGGTGAGGAGCCATGGATTCTCAATAAATAATCCAACTTTAAGAATACTCAGCCAGGGACCAGAGCAGCAGTCCTCCATTATACAAACAGAACTGACCGTGTGTCCGCTTAGCTTCTCTGCTTTGTATTTGTCAGCTACAAGTTTATATTCTGATACAAAATGTCTAACTCAAATACAGTGAAGAAAGAATGGTTATTGAATCTGAATATATGAAAGACTAAAATCGAGAAATACATGAAAGTAAAGAACAGTTCAAAAGCTGTGTTAACTGATTTCTCGTAAGGAAGGGGACCAAAGGGGTCCATGTTGTATGCTTTGGAGCTGTGAATGTAATTAGAATTTTTGCCTGTAGTAGCCTTTTCTAAGAAAGTTTTTTCATTAGTAAGAAGTTTTAAACATGAAAGAGGATTTTTAATTCTAGGAAAAAAAAAAAGTTAATTTATGAATGGGGATGAAATTTCTTGCTTTTTCACATAACGTTAATTTATGAATAGGGATGAAATTTCTTGCTTTTTCACATAACGTTAATTTATGAATGGGGATGAAATTTCTTGCTTTTTCACATAACGTTAATTTATGAATGGGGATGAAATTTCTTGCTTTTTCACATAACGTTAATTTATGAATGGGGATGAAATTTCTTGCTTTTTCGCATAACGTTAATTTATGAATGGGGATGAAATTTCTTGCTTTTTCATATAACGTTAATTTATGAATGGGGATGAAATTTCTTGCTATTTCACATAACGTTAATTTATGAATGGGGATGAAATTTCTTGCTTTTTCACATAAAGTTAATTTATGAATGGGGATGAAATTTCTTGCTATTTCACATAACATTAATTTATGAATGGGGATGAAATTTCTTGCTTTTTCACATAACGTTAATTTATGAATTGGGATGAAATTTCTTGCTTTTTCACATAACGTTAATTTATGAATGGGAATTAAATTTCTTGCTATTTCACATAAAGTTAATTTATGAATGGGATGAAATTTCTTGCTTTTTCACATAACGTTAATTTATGAATGGGGATGAAATTTCTTGCTATTTCACATAACGTTAATTTATGAATGGGGATGACATTTCTTGCTTTTTCACATAACCACCAGTTCTTGCTCTGAAATTTTGCTGAATAAAGATTGGCTATTTCGGCAACCTCCTTTTGTTTCCTACACTCTCAGGTTCCCAGTACGGAGGTGCCAATGAGCTCTTCTACAACCAGTTTGATTTACACACGAGAGAGCAGAAAGTTTCCCAGATAGTTCTCCTGGAGGTGAGCTCATCCTGCGAGTGAATGTAGTCTGCACAAGACAAACGTTCTAAAAAAGGCGGAAATAATACTCAGTGACCATAGCCACCCACTGACATCGGAATTTCAACTATCGACCCGCAGTAAACGATACTTTTCCAAAAAAGCAAGAACATACTGATATAGATATTCATTCATACCTACTGCAGTGAGGTTACTGAACACACAGTGCTACAAATGAAACAGAGAGAGAGAAAAAGAGAGAGAAAGAGAGAAAGAGAGAGAGAGAGAGAGAGAGAGAGAATGTTTTACGGAGTGGAATGTTTCAGCACGTGAGACATGTATTAACTAATGTCCTGTCTTGTTGTGCGTATGCATGAGTGCACCTAGCCTTTGTAACGTCTACTGCGATTGTTAACGACTAAGACAAATTTCTCCCTGCGAGATGAATAAAGATTGTCATTGTCATAATGCTGGCCTTGTCATTCTGTTCTGCACTGTTGCTTCTTTACCCTTACTCCTTGTTTTCTTCTTATCTAGTTTTTCCGCTCTTCATCGCTTTTGACACTGTTTGTTGGTAAATGCTCTGATAGAGTCTGCTCTTATTTTTCTACTTTTTTTAAAGGTATTATTATTGTCCCAACGTTTCCTCAGTACACCAGGGTGATTATTTTACTGACTTTCTGATGACGCATCATAAAAAAAACCTCCCAACCCCAGCACTAGAAAACAAACTGAAACCTTCATAACCCTATCCGTACGCCCTGGGGTCATTTTGTACCCCCAGGGTTGTATTCTTCACATTGTAGAATACTTCTAGTACAAAGATCTCTTTGAAACTTTCAGCATTTCTCAAAAAATCATTTTGACAGACTGCTATGCAAAGGGTACGGATCGGATTAACGAGTAAATTTCCTCTTTTGAAAGTGGAGGCACAGAGTTCCCCACGTCGTATGGATACGATAATAAAACACGACATACGGATAGGGTTAAGTTAGATATGCATTCTCTGCGTAGATATTCTCAACACAATTTTTTCTCTCCAGGATGCCATACACCGGATAAAGGAAGCTTTCAATAAAGAGTTCAATGAGGTCTTTGGCAAGAAAGAGCAGGAAATTTCGAAGGTGAAGGACAAGAACAAGCGGATTGCCAAAATCATCGAGTATCTTGGTCTGGAGGAGTCTGTGGATGAGCCGGCCATGAGTGTGGCGGAGAAGCCTGAGCTGCTGTTGGAAGTTGCTGACTCGGAGGTATCTAACATTCTCTGTGTAAATACCTGGCCTTCTTTAGTTTAGTTTTAATAAGAGTTTTACGGCACTTGCAACACAATATGGTCATATAAGTGCCGAACCTGTCCTTGTCTTTGTGTATTTGTTTCTTTCGCATATAAAAGCGCTGATTCTTATGGAGTACATTGTAAGTCTCTTTATATGCATGGGCTGGCTATTAGAAATATTGCCTGGTAAAAATTTCTGTAATCGTAGTCGCACTGCAATTTTGCTGACCCAAAAAGTTGCTCTTTCAAATCGAAAAATAAAAAAAATAATTATTTACGTAATCTTTTATCAAATAAAACTTCCTTTAGTGTTATAGTTAGTTCCAACTAGCAAAAGATGTTACCAGGAGCCATGCAATCCATTTATTTGCTGAAGTGTGGAGTAACTTTTTATCTCATACTTTTTCTAGAGTAGAAATATTCTGGCAGGCTTATTTGTTCAGTAACTACATAATTTACTTTTTTAATCCTCGGTTGCCTTTGAGCATTGGGGGAGAGGGGGGGGGGGGGGGAGGACATGCAGCTTTCTATGGAAGGCCAACTCAGCAGTTCTTTCAATTGACATGTTGTAGTTTCTCAAGGTTCCTTTGACTCCCTCAGTCCCTCTTTTGATTGTCTTTCTCTTCCTTTATAGCCTGAGTATGTGGTCTCCAGGGGCTGGCTGATGAGGTGACATTTGTCACAGATTGACAGATATGCATCTGATGCGACATGTTGTATTTATGTCAGCTTTGATTTTTCTATTCATATATTTGAAACTCTTCTGTGCCAGCAATATACAATTTAAATTCTGTGTATATTTACAAGTGTTTTTGCCTTTCCTGTAAAGCCACAGAAACATTTCCACAGGAACAATAAAGTATCATCTCATCTCATCTCATCTCATCTCATGTCATCTCATCTCGTCTCGTCTTAAAAGAATAATAAATTTCATAAATGTGCTTTAGAAACTCTAATTTCCCTTTTTCTTTTCCCAGATTACTGTAGAGAAATATCTGACGCCCGAGCAACAGAAGAAACTGGACGAGCAGCAGAAACTGGACGAAGAACGTCTCGCTAAGGAGAAGGGAGACAACGCCAGGGAGAGGGCCTTAGACATGATGATGGGCGGAGTGCTGGAGATCAAGAAGGAGGATGAGCTCAAAAAGGTGAGAGTTTGTGCTTGAAAGAAAAATGTAATGGGCAAAAGCTAAAAAGAAGACCCAGTCGTAGGGCAGAAATGCAAGATCCAGCCAGAAAGGAGCCTCCTATGGTGTGGAGGGGGCCTATGGTAAAAACGATCTTAAATGTGATTGGACTGATATTAAAAAACAATTATTTGCATGATCAGATATATATTATACCTCAGGATTTTCATGTTTCGATGTTGTTATTGCACTTTTACTTGAATGACTGTTGACCTCTTAACATAAAAGTAAAGCCTGTCTTACCCCCATCATTCAGGATGTTCCAAAGCCGGCCTTCATGTTGACCAAGAAGGAAGAGGAGTGGAATGAGGAAGAGCAGAAGCAGCACAAGGATTACCTCAAGAAAGTTCAGGAGCTTGTTGAAGAGAGAGAAAAGTATAGAAAGGTCAGTGAGGTTCTCTCTCTCTCTCTCTCTCTCTCTCTCTCTCTCTCTCTCTCTCTCTCTCTCTCTCTCTCTCTCTCTCTCTCTCTCTCTCTCTCTATCTATCTATCTATCTATCTATCTATCTATGTATCTATCTATCTATGTATCTATCTATCTATCTATCTATCTATCTATCTATCTATCTCTCTCTCTCTCTCTCTCTCTCTCTCTATCTATCTATCTATCTATATATATATATATATATATATATATATATATATATATATGAATGAATTATATATGCCTAGAGGGGAATAAAAAATGTGTGTGGCAAGGTATGTTTTCCTTCCTTAAAAAATAGTTGACAAATCATTCTGGAAGGACTTTACCGATGTGTTGGCACTCATGGTGAAACAGTTGTACAAGTTATTCTGGAAAAGACCTGGGTGTGTAATGCATCTTTTTTTGTTTAAATTTAAGTTAAAGCTATTTGTTCTTAATTAAGTGGCAGGATAGAATAAGAAATGAAGAGCTGTGGGAAAGGACAGGACAAAAGGATATAGAAGTAGAAATAGGACTAAGAAAGTGGCGATGGATGGGACACACCTTAAGAAAGCCCAGAGGAAACATCACAAGAAAGTCACTGCAGTGGAACCCACAAGGAGCGCGAGGCAGGGGCAGGCAACGGGAAACATGGAGGAGATGTGTGGAAAGGGACATGAGAGAGATAAAGCTCACTTGGAACGAGCTTGGAAGGATGGCTCAGGACAGAGATAAATGGAAGGAGCTTGTATGTGGCCTATACCCTGCCAGGGGTGAAAGGCATTGATGATGATGATGATATTTGTTCTTCTTAACCCTATCCGTACGTCGTGTTTTACTATCGCATCCATACGACGAGGGGATCTCTGTGCCACCATTTTCCAAAGAGGAAATTTACTCGTTAATCCTATCTGTATGCTTTGCATAGCAGTCTGTTAAAATGAATTTTTTAGAAATACTGTAAGTTTCAAAGAGAACTTCATACTAGAAGTATTCTAAAATGTGAAGAATACAACCCCAGGGGTACAAAATGACCCCAGGGCGTACGGATAGGGTTAATGCAATGCAAAATAATACTGTTATTCTGAAGGAAGAAAGAAGAATGATTTACTCGTAATCGTGAAGTTGTGGGTTTGGGAGTTGGAGCCTCAGACCCGACTTTGTGTCCTTGGGAAAAGCACTTTACCCGAATTACATGTATTTTCCTCACTTCACCCTGGTGGGAATGGGTACTTGGCCATAGACGGCGAAAGATCTTGTCGGTATGATAGTGTTTTAGCCCCTATAAAAATGTCTGCTTTCACTGTATGCTTCCCAGGAAGTTGAGATTGTTTGAGGTCTGATGGGGTAATAATGTAGATTGTAAAGGGCATAGAGCTTGCTTTTGATTGGGAATTTGTGCTATACAAATGCTATCTATTATTATTAATTATTAGGTGAGTTATTCAAGGCTCAAATGTGTTTACTATTCCATGTTGACTCGTTTTGACCCTATCCGTGCGTCGTGTTTGACTTTCGTATCCATACGACCTGGGGAACTCTTTGCCACCACTTTCAAAAGAGGAAATTACTCGTTAATCCGATCCGTACGCTTTTACATAGAAGTCTGTCAAAATAATTTTTTGAGAAATACTGAAAGTTTCAAAGAGATCATTGTACCAGAATTATTCTAAAATGTGAAGAATACTACCCCAGGGGTACAAAATGACCCCAGGGCATACGTAAATTGTTTGTATGAAATTTATCTGAATATCTGTGAGTTGTAATTGTAACTAAATAACGTTGGTAGCAAAAATACTTCTTCTAATCAAATGAAGATGAGTAGGGAAGCCTGTTGTTTATCGCTCTCTTTGTTCTAAACAGCAACTTGAGACAGAGCTGCGGAAGTTACAGGCCAATATCCTGGAGAACTTGCAGACATTTGATGACACTCTCAACGTACTCTTCATGCGCAAGATCAAAGTGATGATGGTCATTTACCAGGTAAATAAGATAAGATAAGATAAGATAAGATAAGATAAGATAAGATAAGATACATCTTTATTGTCCTGACCCTGGCACATTGGTTTGGTGTTTCACCACGTGTACACACACACACACACACACACATACATGCACACACACACACACACACACACACATACACACACACGTACACACGCACACACACGTAGGCTTACAATCACATGCGTAATGTAAATGAGCAGCAATGTAAACAATAATAATCGTAAGCTAGATACACTCTCAATGTTATTTTGAGAGCTGAAAAGATTTGAAGTTTTGTTTCTTTTATGTAAGGGCTTTTTTTGGTTAAATTACCTGCTGGTTTTAGAATCTTATTTGCTTCCTTTTTTGTTTCATTACCTTATTTCTTGCTTTTTTCCCAGAAATGTTTTAATAATTTTCTTGCTGTTATCAGTACAGTGAGAGTTTTGACTTCAAATAAAAAATAATTGTTCAGTGAATTGGAATGTTTTGAAAAGTTCAGCAAGTAGCATTTGAGTTTCTAAAAGAGGTGGCTTACTTTTTTCTGTGCTTGTTTATTGTATTATATTTATCTGACTCATTCATCTCATGCTCTTGACTTGAGATATGCTTCGTTAAAGGTAATGAGAAATTATGATAAAAAATGTAAGTGAATAGGTATCGGTACATCAACTGTTTAATCACTCTCATGCCAGTAGAAATTTATTTTTGCAATGATAGCTGTTAAGAAATTTGATCAGGTTCTGATATTTTATTCTTTCTAGATTCTCAGTCCAGCGATAAAACATTTTGGAATACCAACAGCATGGTTCCTCTTCTCTCTTGCCCTTTTTAATTCCCAGTGGAGTTTAGGCCATCAACAACATTACTCCAGCGAAGCCTGTCCTGTGCATCCTTTTCTAGCTGTTTCCATGATGTCCCCACCTTTTCCATTTCCCCTTGTACCGCTCGCCTCCATGTCATCTTTGGTCTTCCCTTCTTACGTTTTCCTTGTGGATTCCACGTCAAAGCTTGTCTGATGATGCTTCTAGGGTGTCTCTTCAGGGTGTGCCCAATCCATTATCCATTTCCATTTCTTCACCTGTATGTCTTCCTTTACTGACCTTTGGCTTGTTCTTTCCCTCAGTTGAGCATTTGTCACTGGATTGTACCACTCATAGTTCCTGTATAACACAAATATGTTTGTGGTTTTTCTTGCAGGAGGAGCTGAAAATTCTGAGATTGAGATATGCAATGTTGATCCAGGAAGAGATTGAGACCAGAGAAGGAGACCTTAATCAGACCCTTGAACACAAACGGAAACTGAAGGTAGCACATCTTTTTGTTTTCTTATCATTTCGGGGAGCACTTGTGTCATTCGGACTGGAGTTTTTTTTTCTGTGATGAATGAAAAAGGTTCATCATTAGCCCCTTCTCTGTTTGTAAAGTCAGGCTGATTGTATGAATGTTTTTATCAATTTGTACTGCTGCTTTCAGAATGCCATCTTCTTTATGCGAAGCAATCTGTATATTTATGAATATTTCATAGCTGCAACTAGAGCACTACATTGTTTTATGTGCACTTCTGTTTTTTCCACTGGAGTCTTCACATACATTTATGACTATTGATACATTTGGGAAAAGTAATAGAGTTCTAACAGGTACCAGTGTAAGACAATATCTTGTAATAATAATAATAAATAGCTTTTGTATAGCGCATGTCCCCACTCGAAAGCAAGCTCTATGCGCTTTACACTATATTATTACCCCAGCAGACCATAGAACACTCAGAAACATTCTCAGCTTCCCGGGAAGCATACAGTGCAAGCAGCTGGTTAAGCGCCCAAACACTAACAAACTGACAAGATCTTTCGCTGTCTATAGCCGGGTACCCATTACCATCTGGGTGAAGTGGGGAACATTTGTGTAAAGTGCCTTTCCCAAGTACACAACGTTGGGCCCGCGGCTCGAACCCCGACCCCGCAATTATGAGTCCGGTAGCCTAACCACTTCCCGCTTTCCCTTTTGTGTTTTTTCTATTGTACTGTTGTATTGACACTTTTGGAGACATCCAGCAGTTCAAAGACAGCTACTTTCCTCTCTGACAATGGGGGGGGGGGGGGGGGGGGGCTGGTTGTCTTGGACATTTTCGACTATATTTGACAGTGCATTTTTAACTATTGTGATAAATCCTTTGTCAGCTTTTTCTTGAATTTAATAGGAATGTCTGTATGATTAAAATAACAGATCGCAGTTATATAGTGCTCTATCTCACACGAGTATTAACGAGATTACAGACCTACTACAGACCTGGTATTCAATGTTGATATGATGTAATACTTGTAGTGTGTTTCTTCCTGTAATTTACAGACTTCCTGAAACATAACGGATCTGATCTGGAAATTACTTTAATATAAAATGCAAATGTAATGATGAATTCATTGCTTAAATGTAAGGGGTGCTGACAAAATGAGTTACTTCTCGCAATCCACAAGTGAAGATATTGGCCAAAAATCGACACTAGGGTTGAATTTGTAAATTTTCTATTGATGCAATATTCTTTAAATATAACATGCCTTTTGGTATTTTGTACTTATAAATTATAAAAACTTCACCTATAAGTGTGATGTGTCTATTTCCATAGGTCTTGAATCGGAGAAGTAGCTCATTTTGTCAGCACGCTTCACAAATGTTTTGTTTCTCACACAAAGGTTTCTAAGTTCATTCAGTGTAATAAAAAGGAAAATAATATCTTTTGCTGTATGTTCCAACAGCAACTGGCGTTTGAGGCCGTGGCGGAGACCCGTAAAAACTATGAGAACTTCCGCAATCTTTACGAGCTACTGCAGGCGGAAGACAAGATTGTTGACAAATCATTCCGCAGGGACTTCACAGATGTGTCGGCACTCATGGTTGATCAGTTGTACAAGCAATTCAGGAGAAGACCTCGGTGTGTAATGCGTCCTTTTTTTTTGTTTTCGTTTTTGTTAACCCTATCCGTACGCTCTGGGGTCATTTTGTACCCTCGGGGTTGTATTCTTCACATTTTAGAATACTTCTAGTATGAAGATCTCTTTGAAACTTTCAATGTTTCTCAAAAAATCATTTTGACAGACTGCTATTCAAAGCGTACGGATCGAACTAATGGGCTCAGCCTCTGAACAAATTTTGCTGATTTGTACAATTGCACTTTATGATGACCAAAATGGTTACTTGGCTGATTATGCTACCTGGTTTAACTGAAAAATTCTTGGAAGAAGACTTTCATTTCTAAGAACGGAATGGTTAAAAGTTATTGTTGGGAAAACAAGAATCGCAGTCTACAGGAGAAATACAGAAAACAAACAATATCGTTCTAATCTTTGGACATTTTCTAGTGCTCTTTATGCTCCATCATGCTTATGCTATGGAATGGAAAAAAAAATTGTGACATTGTAGTGAAAAAGCAGCAATAACATAGGGCTTCAACCTAAAAAAAATATTTTAAAATAAACAAAGGCTGGACTATAGGCAAATTTAGTTTGTATCAAATATTTTTTTGTCTGCAATCAGGCTTGTGGCTTGATGAGTTTGGCTAGTGAAATGTGTCATGGTTTTCAATCTATTGGGGTGTTACATGAGAGTCATGGTTTTCAATCTATCGGAATGTTACATGAGAGTCATGGTTTTCAATCTATCGGAGTGTTACATGAGAGTCATGGTTTTCAATCTATCGGAGTGTTACATGAGAGTCATGGTTTTCAATCTATCGGAGTGTTACATGAGAGTCATGGTTTTCAATCTATTGGATTGTTGCATGAGAGTTATGGTTTACAATCTGTCGGAGTGTTATATGAGTCATGGTTTTTTAGTCTATCGGAGTGTTACATGAGAAGATAGATAGGATTTGTATAAGACTTGTGTTTAGCGTGCTCTAATGACCTTATGCAGTTGCGAGCGCCGTAAAACTTTTACTAAAACTAAAGACTTGTGTTTGACCTGTCATTTTGTGTTCTCTGTAGCATTCAGAAGTACCGAGCAGTGGATACCCCAGGAGGCGGCAAATCTGCCAACCCGTACAGTGATCGTCCTTCTTCATCCTTACAGCTGAACTATCAGCGCAGTCAGGTGAGCCAGTGATTTCATTTCATTGTTTCAGGAAGCAACATCCCTGCACTCCGGACATGTCCAAGCCAGTGAAGATGTGCATAAACGAAACATAATACTGATTTGCATTTAGCATTATTTTTTTTTTGTATTTGGTATTTGTGAGTCACACTGACGAGTTACTTCTCGCAATCCACAAATGGAGACATTGGCAAAAAATAGACATTGGGGTAAAACTTGTAGATTTTCTATTGATGCCATATTCTTTTAACTATAACCTGTCTTTTAGTATTTCATACTTATAAACTGTAAAAACTTCCCGTATAACCGTGATGTATCTATTTCCTTAAGACTTGAATCTGAGAAGTAACTCATTTTGTCCGCACACTTCACATTTCTATCATTTGAGGGTATGCTCAACAAATGTTGCGTTAATGGAATCACTCTCATAAGTACATCAGTGGATGAAATATATTTCTCTTTCTTTCTCTCTTTCTCTCTTTCTCTCTCTCTCTCCCTCTCCCTCTCCCTCTCTCTCTACTCTCTCTTTCTCTCTCCCTCTCCCTCTCCCTCTCTCTCTACTCTCTCTCTCTACTCTCTCTCCCTCTCCCTCTCTCTCTCTCTCTCTCTCTCTTTCCTTTGTTGCATTCCTTAAAAATTCAAACTTTCTTCTTCACAAAAGACCCCAGGAATAACCCAGCTAAGTCCTGTGCTGTGTAAGATATAAGAAATGCTCTACTCACAATGAAATATGGACTTTTGAACTTTGAATTCCAATTTTCTGGATTTTCTTGAAATACGACTTATCTGGGTTTTTTCCGCTGAATTTTTCATATTTACATGTGTCATGACGCGGTGGAATCAGGCGCTCATAAATTTTTTTGCATGTAGAATTATTTATAATAATAATAATAATGATAATAATAATAATAAATTACACTTTTATTTGTCCCAGAAAGGCACTTTGTTTTACAATGGCAAACATACTTACATAAATACATAATTATAAATACGTACATACATAAATACATGCATAAATACATACATAAATACACAATATTACACAAATACAGAACAGTTTACAAACAATGCCACTGTCGGTCGCCACTGTGCAGTGCCCCGTATTTTGAGCTAGGGTTGTCGTGTCTTGCTCAAGGACACACCCCAGTGACCACCCATCTGATCCCCATGTCACCGACACTTGCTTGACATTGCTTGAGTCAAAACTCACTGCTCACTTAGCCACTGGAGCCCCCAGTGGTTAGTATCATCTTAAAGCTTTTTCGTTTGTCTATCTTTCGATGAAGAGAATACCCATCTATCTTGAATAGCAGTCGAGATGTGTGCCATTGAACGAGGTGGTTTTGCTTGATTCAACAGTAAAATTAGCGAGAAAATGGCGCCCGCGGTTGGATGTTTTGCTTAAAATTCACGCCGAAATGTGATTTTAAATGAACAGAAGAGATGTTGAGCCAAAAAAACTAATATTCGATAAAAATTGCAAAACTGGTGGGGAAAATGCCCTCTTCTTCTATTTCATTATTTTGACGAGCACCTTTTTTCACCACAATGCCATGCAAATGTCATATTCTGTGCTGGTCTCGTACAGTCGTTTTCATCGTACACCATGTGTCACGACACGTGGAATCAGGCACTCGTCAATTTTTGGGTGCATGGAGTTATTAGTATGATCTTAAAGCTTAATTATTTGTCTTGCATTTGGCGAAAAAAACCCCGTTTATCTTGGGTAGAAGTGGAGATATTTGCGATTGAAGGCGATGGGATTTGCGAGGTGTCAGAGGTAAAATTAGCGAGAAAATGGCTGCCAAAGTTTGTTAACTTCCAAAGCTTGGGTGTCCTTGGAAACTAGACATTTACATTTTTAGTGCCTTTGAACAACAGTTTTCAGCAAAATCCACACAGAAATGTGTTTTTAATTGGACGTAAAAGGTGTTTGAGCCAATAAAAAAATTAAAAAACCACAACTGCCCAACGGTAAGAAAATTGCAGTTTTCTTTGATTTCACTATTTTGACGAGCACCTCTTTTCACCACAATGCCATGTAAATGTCACATTCTGTGCTGGTATCCTACAATTGTTTTCCTCATACACTGTGTGATGTCTGTCTACAGGTGGACCATGGTTTAGATGAGTTGGACAAGTTCGGCAATGCCCCGGAGGGCTGTGAACCCAGTGTGTGGGAGCGCATGTGCAAACTCCGGCGAAAGAAAGTGGAAAGTGAAACACTGGTAGGGAATTACTTGGAATTACTTGGATCCAGAGCTAGAATCATAGCAGGCGGCACATGTCCATAGCTGCTCATCTCTCCTTTCCAGCGTCCACCTCAGGGTCTTCTTGCTATTTGTCTGCATGAGGAGCTGGTTTGAGACACGCCTGACCACTCCTCGGAGCAAACTTTTTTTTCCCTGTGCCCCGCACACACTTTCCTTTTATTGTGCTGAGTGTGTGGGAGTCTGTCTCCTCTAGGTCGTGAATCATAATTTTACAGTCCAACAACTTACATAGAGATGGCAATTAGAGCGGGTTTGATTGTTATTAGAATGACGCAGTAAAGAACTGTAGATGTGAGCAATTTCAGAATGTAATAGATTAGATTTGACTTCATGTTTTTTGGGGGGTTTTTTGGTCATATTTTTAAGGCTCCATTTTTGTAATGACAAGTTGTTTACTCGTGCGTTTGACTTCACCTTTCTTCTTTCTATCTTCTTATTGATGAAATCAGTTCAGCAGAAAGTGTCGCTTCAAGAAAATTTTAAAAAATGTTTTCTAGACATGACATCTTTTGCTTAAAAATTTGTATTGTTTTATGTTGTGCAATATTGTATTCTTCTTTTTTTTTTTTTTTCTCCAATTGAGAGAGTATCATTGTGGATGGTTGGCGGGTGCTCTGGTGTTGTTTGCTTTTTTTTTCCTATTAAACATCTATCATCTTTAACTCCCCTCCTTATTTTTTATGTTTGTTACTCTCTTGTAACACCTCTAACCTTCAGCACTTATATGACCTTATTGTGTAGCAAGTGCCTTCAAACTTCTACTAAAACTAAGAGTAACATTCTGCGTCGCTGCTTTTTGTTCCAGCTCAAGGTAAAGAGCAACATCCTGGCTGACATGATGGCATTCATGCAGAAAAGACAGGAGGAGGATGATCTGTTGAAGAACGAAATTGAAGACATTGGCCACCAAATCAATAAGTGAGTGTGCAGCCTTTAAGATAAGATAAGATAAGATAGTACTTTATTATCCCAAAGGGAAATTTTCCTTGGTTGTACAGGACCGTAAAAACACATGCAGGTATACATAACGAATTTTAATTATATTTTACTCTCATTAAAATTCAATATAAAAAGAGAAGTAAAGCTGACAAAATGTACATTCACATCAGATGCATCATTCAACCACATGCAGGAATTTAATCGCAAGACCTGTGCTGGTAGAACACCGAGAAGTTTGAAAAGTTCATTTGGAAAAATTTCATCTTTCATTTGTTGTAATGTGACAGAACTACAGATTCTTTGTAGCTAAAAATACCTCTTGATCAAACATTAACACTTACAGTACCACTGGGGACTTTAGTCGCCTACGCATCCTGGCACACTAAACATAATTAAACGACGAATAGACGCACTGTGAAGTAAATACCAAAGGGAGTTGCTTTATATGACAGCTGAATGGTTGATGAACATCTATGAATTTTTAAAGCGTGTTTCTTAGGCTGCCAAGGTGTTTTTAAAATTATAAAACATTCTACCATGGCTTCAGTGTTCTAAACTGGTGCGGTACTTGAGGGTTTTTCACTAATGAGCCTTTGGTACTATAAGTGTTTAAGGGTTTGTCATAGTTAGATGCAGATTTCTAATTTTCCAAAAGAAATATATTGTGCTTTTGCGATACTTGTGCCATGATTTTCAATATAATTATTTTGTGTTGTTTTGAAAGCAAATGGAAATTACGTGCGCAAATAATATATGGTTCTAACAAACTTTCCAAACCTCTTAACCTCTATCTGTTAGTGGTTAGCGGGTGCTGTGGTGTTGTTTGCTTCTTTTTTCCTATCCAACATCTATCATCCTTATCTCCCCCTCCTTTTTTTATGTGCTTGTTACTCTCTAGTAACACCTCTAATCTTCAGCACTTTTATGACCTATTGTGTTGCAAGTGCCATAAAACTCTTACTAAAACTAACTAAGGTAATATTTTTCAGTTTGTGGGTATAAACAGATTTAGAGAGAGTGAAGAAACGCACGTCTGAAAAAGCTCTAGGTTTTATTTCTGTCTTCTTGTACACTGTAGCCGAAAAATGACTAGTGAGGAAAAGAAAGGTACTGTCTAAATCCCGATATGTTACCCAACAGATATAACAGAAGTGTTATGTAATGTACACTATTCCGCAACTATCCTCTATCTGCAGGCTCAAGGAAGATGAGCAAAGGTTTGTCCTGAACCTTGAGGTCCAGCTTCTCCTGAAACAAGGTCAGATTGAGGTGGACGCCGGTCCGTTCATTCGCGACTTCAGAGACAGCGTCCTTGTTCATCGCAGCGTGGTCGAAGACCTCAACAACACTATCAAGGTCAGGGGTCAGGAAGTGTTGTAAACTGTCCCCGTGGTTTTATGCGCCCCGCATGATTGAGCAAAATTTTATCCTTTTTTGCATAATTTCTGATTATTTTCCTTTATCATTCTTTGTCAAAATTCACAGAATCGCATAATTTCACATTTTTGGGCTCAGTTTGCATAATTTCCTATTTTTTGTGCTCATAAAACCACAGGGACAGTGTAAAGTTGCTCATTGTTGTCTTTACAGGCAATCTGTATACATGTATAGTTTTTTCAGGTCTTTAGGAATTTAAAGACAGATCATTTTTATTATCACTCTTGACTTTTACAAATACTTTTGTGTCTATGAAACCATTTTCATTTGGAACAAAATTGCAACATATTTTATTGTGGTTAAGACAGATATCTTGTTATTCATTTGGATTTTTTAAGAGTTATTTTAGAATAAAGATATCCTTTAGGGAAGTTTGTGTAAGAACTGATTTTTCTTGTTTCAGCAACTGGGCGAGAGCAAGATTGCCAGTATGGTTGAGAGCAAAGACTTCAGAAAGGGCATTATACAGCTGGAGTGGTGAGGCTTTCTTGGTTTTCAGTCATTCTGTTTCGCTTATTGAAAGAAAATGTACTGATCTTTACAACTTTAATCCGTCTAATCTGTCAGAAGATGGGGCCTGTACCTATGACCCTTATTTTTGTTAGATTTTTATTACAATTATGACTGCTGTATTGCATTTACCCCTATCTCTTTTTATCTCTCCCCCCGCCCCTTCTCTCTCTCTCTCTCTCTCTCTCTCTCTCTCTCTCTCTCTCTCTCTCTCTCTCTCTCTCTCTCTCTCTCTCTTTCTCCCTTTCTGTCTCTCCCTCTCTCTCTCTTCCTGTATATCTCTCTTTGTTTATGTTTGTCATCCTTATTTTATTTTTAGGTTCCACTTCTAATCTAATCATCCTCAACAAATGCGTGCTCTGTAAAAACCGTTGAATGCTGTGTATGTCATTGTATGTAATATTTTTAACCAACAGGGAACACAAGAAAATGTCTATGCAAATGGAGGATTTGGAAAACAAGATGAAAGATATTCAGTTCATCAAAGTCACCCGCGAAATTCAAGCAGTGAGTTCTTCTTTTATCAAATCAATGATTTTTTAAAAAATGTTCTAGAACAAGTCAATGTAAATCTGTGGTGTGAATTAAATCTTTATCTCCGGCAACCCGTTCCCAGCGGCTTGCGGTCGGAACCACTGTGCCGGTGAGCCGCTGATAGCGGCTTGGGCACATTCCTTTACGACGACTTCGACATCAAATTACTTTTTGGGCGGTCTCTTATACCGGAAGCTCATTCATTAGATGAAGGACTATCAAAATAGGTCTGCTACTTACAACAAACTGTTGATCCGTTGTAGAGATATAAAAATTGATATATGTTTTGTGATTTCTTTCATGTAAGTTACTTGACCATACAGTAAAAGACTCTGTTTGAGATTTTCAGGATTTAGATCTTCTGAATCCGTACTGTTCCCAAAATAACCTCAGTCTGACTCATCCCATAATATAAGAAACAGCTTTTGCATTAAAATTCTCTGCTGGCGAATGCTTTTTGCTTGTTAGTTATTGGAAGATAGAGAAGTGCAATTATTAGGAAGACAATTGTCAAACTTTAAAAAGACATTTCCACTCTTGCATCAGGCGTGTTTGATATGTATGGTCACATAGCTTCCTTCTAATTGTAGTTGAGCTTGGTTTTAAAGCTGATCAAAGATGCAACACTTCCCCATTTAAATCGTATTTCTGCTTTTGTTTTTTAAGCCTCTCGTATCTTTTTCTCATTCTGCAGTTCCTTCAAGAAGACGACTACGAAGCAAAGAAGGCCACAGAGATTGCCACTTTAGAGCAAACTATTACCCTGCAGAAGAAGGTGAGTGGGAAAGAAAAAAGACGCAATCTTTTACCCCGATATCTGCTCTAGTGACTTGGACAGACCTTAGACTGTGATGTGCCTTTTTATAGGATTTATAGTTGTTGTTTTTTTGCATTATCAACCAGAACTCATTACTTTCATGAAAAGATGGAGAATACCAATACTTGGACTGTCGGATTGCTGTTTAAAAGGAAGTGTGCTGTGTAGTAGCCAACAATAAAATGTGTAGAATAATTTCAGGAAATGTTCATGATGTATGTCATTATCTTCTTCTCGATCGCATTGCACTTGAAGTCTGGTATCTGTCATAAATTGGGTCGTCCTGCTCAGTTCATCTGTTGGCCCATATAGCTTCTCTTGTAGCGTCAGTGGGGATGGCCACGTTTCCTGTCTCAGGGCCCTGTGTGTCTTGCAGTGCTGAAAGATGTGTTCAACAGTTTGGTCCGCCTCTCCACACTGGCATTTTGGTGATTGTGCTAGTTTAAAACATCTGTACATATGTTGTCTATATATGTCGTTAATTTGTACGCAATGTATTTTCAGCATCATGAGAAGAACGTTGATGAAAGGAAGAAGATTCTGAGGGACCTGTCCAAGAACCTCAAGTACAAGGGATCGTCCAACAACAAACTAGACGGTGACTTGATGGACCTGAACGTGGTGGTCAACGAACGGCGACAAATTGAAGAAGTCAACGGTAAGTGGCACTCTGAAAATGTACTGGGCTAGCCTCTTCATATTATACCGTGGTTGCGGGTTCAGGGGTTCAAGCCGCGTATCCGACGTTGTGTTCTTTGGGAAAGGCACTTTACACAAATTTTCCTCACTTCACCCAGGTGGGAATGGGTACCCGGCCATAGACAACGAAAGATCTTGTCAGTATGTTAGTGTTTTAGCGCCTATAAATGGCTGCTTGCACTGTATGCATCCTGAGAAGTTGAGATTGTTTCAGAATGCTCTCAGGTCTGCTGGGGTAATAGTATAGATTGTGAAACGCATAGAGCTTGCTGTTGAGCGGGGATTTGCACTATACAAATGCTATCTATCTATCTATCTATCTATCTATCTATATATGTGTGTGGGTGGCGAAACACCAAACCAATGTGCTTCTGTGGAGTAAAGATTTGTCTTGTTTTGTCCTTTCATCATCATCATCCGGTGCCTTGCCGACTGGCGTGGGCGATCATGGACCTCCACTTCAGTCTGTCTTGCGTTGCAGCAATGGTGTCTTTTGTTCTTGCTGCTCCTAGCCATGTTGTCAACTTGTTCAGTATCTTTTCCCTCTGTCTGCCTCTGCCTCTCTTTTCATCATACTTGTCTGTTGTTACTATATTCTCCAATGCTTCTTTCCGCATTGTGTGTCCAAAGAAATTTGCCTGTCGCTTTCTTATATTCGTCATTCGTCATTTTGTCCTATACATAATAACAAATCATTGGCCATCTATTTTTACAGCTTTTTTTTTTTTATAGTTGATATACTTTGCAATGGCAGATTGAGTTTTTCTGGTGCGAATTGCATTTATTCTTTTGGTTTGCTAAAATTGTACTCTACTGTTTTTCCAGCTGAAAACAGAGATGATGGTGGTGCTGAGAAACGCTACCAAGAAATCGTCCAGAGACGGAAGCTGGTGGACCTCGCCAAGGCCCAGGCTCAGGAAGTGGCGGTGTTGCGAGCAGAGGTGGAGCGGCTACGTATGAGAACATTCCCAGCCCTGGTGCAAGTCGAACGATAAACCCTTGCATTGGGAAATATCTAGTGCTTTGGTTTTCAATTTTGTATTATTAGCGGGTGTCCTGAACTTGTGTGATCCTTTTCCTTCCCGAGGTCCCAGTAAAAAAAAATGTTCACCACTCCTCTCTCTGACCTGCTAGAATTTAGCGTTACCACAGCACAGTGCCTGTTGCAGGAATCACTGATCTTTTAGCTGAAACAGTAAAAGGAGAAAATGTCACAAATGCAGCAGACTAGAAAGTAAGAAGTCATACTGGCTGTAATTAGATGTGCTGAAACCTGAAAAATACAAGGTTTGATTCCTTGTATAGATTCCTAGAGTTTGAAAGGAAATAAATATGTAAAGTAATCTGGATGCTTAAGTTAAACTACTATTACTTTGAGGTGGTTGAGCCTAAATGGTATCTCAGAGAATTATTGGACTGCCTTATGCATTGCAAGAACCTGTTAGAAGACTACTGGTCTAGAGTATAAAAAAGCCCTTAATGTTACCATGACAACCTGTTTGGGGTGTATCAGGTGCCTTATGAACAGAATGACAGAATGTGATTTTTTTTGTTAACTCTTTAGCCATGTCTTGACGGTGGCAGCGTCCGGTAGTCGAGGTCTGTAACCACGGCTGGACTGTACCACTGTCGGATGCGAAGTTATTATTGTATTATGGTACGGACCAAATATTTTATAAAAAGTACGAGCTAACAAGCCTTTAGTTTGACCCGGAAGTCAAAGATAAATGAATTCTACGTCTGGGTAATGCTTTATTGATCAGTTTGACACGAAACAAGCGGTTTTACAAACGTAATGTCGGTTCGCATTTCCACAAACACGAGAGAGTTACGCGGAAACGTGATTTTTAATTGCATAATTAAAGAGTTAAGGTTTGAATGCAGTATGAAGGGAACTCATGTCTCTTCTACAGTTTGGGGCCAGAACAACCAGATGTTTGTGGGGCTGAGAATCATTGCTAGATTGTCACTCTTCTGGGAATGGTCTTATACTTTGATCAGCTTTCTTTTCTGTGAAAGTTTTCTTTACTGTCCTGTCAACACAAGATAGCTTACTACTGAAGTGGGAGATGCTTTGGCAGATTTTTTAAATGCTGAAGAGTTAGAAAAACAATGATTTACAGTGAAGGCAGAGGCTGGAAAGCAAAATTTATACAAGAGAAAAAGATATTTCATCAAGTTACTTCTTGCAGTTTTTCATAGCATTCAGAAAGGGAAAAGATCCTTCCTTTCCTTTCCTTTTCTGATCCAGCGGCCATTTGGGTTCTAGTCCTTGGGTCTGTCGATATGGCAAAGAATTGACAGGGAAAAGATAAAATTGTCAAATGGATCTGAGACGGGTCATCTGTCCGTACTTGGTTTCTGTTGCAATAGAAACGACATTTAAAATGTTTTGTTTATTTTCCGATCTTTCTGGAGAGGTAAAACAAAGCGAGTGAAACTCTGGAGCCCAGGGCTAAAGTACAAATGAGTGTATGTATAGCAGTGTGTGCTTCAAAAACCAGGTATACAACAGTAGCATTCATGTGTTTTGATTTGCAGAGGCTACACTAAGGACTTGTGAAGAAACTATAAGATCATATGCTTTTTTTTTTGGAGCTCCATTCTTGATTATGTATTGTTCATTTCTTTCATTTGCTTGAATTTAAGTCAATGAGAAGCGCAGCAAAACGGTCTAAATTATATAGTATTGGGAATAAGAAATGATACAGATAGAAGATGATGAAGGGATAGGGCATGAAAAGGACCACCAATAACCCTCTCCTGCTACTCACCCTGTATATTTAAAAGAAAGTATACTTTTGTGATTCTGGGAACTGTTCTGTGAGCAGTCCTTGCTGAGTTCCCCAAGATTCTGTGATATTACGTGATGTTCAAAACTGAGAGATGTGATAAGATGTAGCTGGTTTGTCTCAAAGACAGATGAAGAATGTTTTCTTGGGCTATCTCTTTGTGTACAATTTTTAAAAATACACAATAACATTGTTCGAGTTTGCTATTTTGTGATATTTTGCATGTTATGTGGTAGTATGATGATGTCAGGATGGAAATTTTACAGCTATTTTTCAGTTTTGAAAAGGCTAAAAAGTGTGACCAGAATGTAATGTATAGTTAGTATACACTTCCAACTTACACACACCTGTTTTATTATGTTTGTGCAAGCGTCGTCAATGTTTGTAAGGCTATCAGAAGGGAGTCAGACTTGATCACAAAACTGCTTTTTGTGCCTTTCTTAAATAGATTTTGTACCCCCCAAGTGGAGGACAGATAACTTTCCTGATTCTAGATTGGCCATTTTCAGTATTTAATTTGGACCCTTAGTCAAAATCAGTACCATAACTGATTCTGAGCTGGGCAATCTGGAAATATTTTTACCTATATATTTTTTCAGTGTTTTATTGCTGAAATACTGTTAATGCTTGATGGGCGTATTGATTATAACAATAAGATTAGGAAATAAATGTTTTATGGAAAAGCTGCACTGATTATGTTGCATTAAGGAAATAAATGTTTTATGGAAAAGCTGCACTGATTATGTTGCATTAAGACATTGTGATCCACTCCGTGCAGTATATGTAAGGTGTCGCATAACTATATATCCATTCAATGACTTATTCAAGTTTTGATAAAATAGGTACTTAATGCAGATAATAACTGGAAGTTTTTTTGCCTCTGATTAAAGTTATCTTCTGATGTGACTCGTATTGTGACTTGCAGTGTGCTTGATTTTTGAGGGGATGGTTGGCGGGTGCTCTGGTGTGGTTTGCTTCTTATTCTTTCCTACCAAATATCTATCGTCTTTATCTCCCCTCCTTCTTTTTTATGTTTGTTACTCTCTTGTAACACCTCTAATCTTCGGCTTTTATATGGCCTTATTGTGTTGCAAGTGTCGTAAAACTCTTACTAAAAACTAAAACTAAACTGATTTTTGTACTTCTGTAAAGTGTACTGATTACTTACTGAGAGCAAATGCACGAGTATTTCTAGGTAATTCACCATTATTATCATTATTAGTATCCCTACATGAGGGTGCGGCGGGGGAGCGGTTATTGCGCTCGTCTCAAAAGTGAAAAGTCCGGGTTTGAGCCTCGGTTCCGACACTGATTTTTTTCGCCCCCTCCTGCCCACCCAGCAGTAATGGGTACCTGACTTCGAGTTGAGGAAGTAAAGGCGGCGTGGAAAGGAACTGGCCACCCTACCACAATATGCCGAAGGCCCAGGAAGTTGTCTCACTAACAAGGCAATCCCCAATGTCCGGATCGGATGCGGGAACAACTTTACCTTTTAATATCCATTCACAACCGGATTGAATTGAGAGAAAGGGGGGCCACGAAAAGTCCCCAGATAATCCAAGTTCATGTGACAAATGACCCACGAAGGACTTGAACCTGTATCATATGTACCAAAATCTATCACGGCACCGATAAATACATCTCAATAGATCTATCACTGCACTAACAAACCTGATGGCGCTGAAAGCTTTCTAAATTGTGAGGCATCGTGGTGAAACGAGGCGCTCGTAAAAATAACGAAAGCAAAAAAATCAGCATCGTTTTGGCTGATGGGCCATTTTTTTTTCTAATTTTCTTTTTTTTTTGGCCCAACACCTTTTATATGTACATTTATAAACACATTTTTGTGTGTATTTTACTGAAAAACATTGATTAAATACACAAAAAATGCAATTTTTCAGTTTTCAAGAACTCTCAGGCTATGGAAGTTGCCTACTTTGGCGGCCATTTTCTTTCTAATTTTACCTCTGAAACCAGGCGACCCTGACCTCCTTCAATCACAAATATTTTGACTTCTGTTCAACAACGATGGATATTTTTTCACGAAAAGGAAGGTGAAGGAACATGCTTTAAGATGATACCAAGAGACTCATATGCCCAAAAATGGATGAGCGCCTGCATGCATGTTGTGACACCCCGTCTGTCTGTCTGTCTCTCCCTCC